ATGCTGGATGTTACTGCTAAAGTCATCTGTCAGTATAGGAAGCACCAAAATCAACATTATAGATTTTAACTTATTAACAAAAGAAGAATGAGCAATTCTCATATACAAAAAGCATTTTCACATTGTACCTTGATATTTTTATAATATCAATAAGTGATAATACCGTCAGTAAATGATATTTCTATTGTCTTCTCACCTATTTAAGTCTGTTAGATATAAGATAGTCAAAGGAGACATTAATGTGATTTGGAAACCAAGCAGTTTTCATAAGCATAGAAATTCTGAAACATTACATTGCCTAGCGAAGATTTAATTATCTTTTCAAAATATAGGACTCATGAGAGAACCTTTTTGAAAGGCCATGTATAAGATGAATCTATAATACATAATTTCTATAGGAAAGCGGGATCAAGTCATTTTGTGGAAATAATCTACATTTTAATGGGATGGGGCCTGATGCTAGTTGATGATAATCCCAGATAGACTATATTTATTTAGTTGCCATTATTTTTTGGCGATTGAAGACTAAAACACATCCAAGGCACCAAATGGTATATCACCTTCGATTTCAAATTGCCGTTTAAAATGAGCTATAAGAGATAGATGTTAAAAGAGGTTTCAACAGTGGTTTTCCTCCACTTTTTGGCTTTTCAGCTGTGAACTCTTTTATCAGAGTCTCGTGTGGAAGTTCTAGTATAAAGTTTATAAAAGTAACTGTTGTGATTTAAACCTAAGGGACATAAGGGGTGACGACCCACCTGCTCGCCCCCTTTGCCATCCCAAGGCCCTTCTCCTTCCCCAAGTCTAATTTGAAAACTGCTACTTTAAAAGAATTTTGACACCTTGAAATGTCATTCTTCATAGCTAATACCCACATTTTTCATTTTTCGAAGTCACAGTGTATTCCTTTAAAATGTTTTTACTTAGTTTTTAAAAACAGCATATTTTTCTAGGCTTTCCCACATTTTTCATTTTTCGAAGTCACAGTGTATTACTTTAAAATGTTTTTACTTAGTTTTTGAAAACAGCATATTTTTCTAGGCTTTTAGGAAATATACCATAACTCATTTCTAGCCTTTTAGTGATTTTTTTTTTTTTTTTTTTTTTAAATCATAAAGAGATGCATTCGCTTTCATCAGATTACTGCCTGGCTGAGATCTCGTTTCTGGCCGTATGACTAGATGACCTTGGGCAGGTCATTTGGCTGCTTTATGCCTCAGTTTCCCAGTTTCTGCTGCATTTAGACAGGGTGGCTGGCCATCATTTACAGAGGTGGCGTAAGGATGGGGTAGATAGACTGTATAGAAACGATTTTGATACTCCCCAGAGCAGTACACATAATCATATACTATCCTAATTACAGTATCTTCCATTCGTACCTCAAAACGTGCTCACATCGGGGCCACTCGAGGCTGAGAGCATTCAGGTTTTGAATGAGCTGTGTACATATTTCTCAGACGATGTCGCAAGCAGCCGTGGCAGAGGCATTCAGCACATGGCTGATTTTAAACCCAGCTCTTTTTTTCCATTTCAGGTCCCTTGAAGTCATGGGTTGCTGGCCCCTGCTCAGAGTGACGACACCCTGTGGAGTCTGCTGGTGCTGGCCCGGCCACCAGAGCCCCACTGGAGCAGGGGGCCAGCCTAGACAGGGCCAGGTAGGAACTGTTTTTTCACTCTATGGCACGGTTTGGCCAATTGGAAAAAGTAATTTTTATACCCCAAAGGGGTATAGAACATTGGTGATTATTTTCGAAAAAGGGCTTTTCAAAACTGAGCCATATTGGAAAAAATCAGCGCTTACCCAGTCCTGTGCGAGCAGGCCTCGTACAGCATCAGGGCCCCTGGTGTCCCTGACTGCCGCGGGCAGCAGGCTCAGACGGATGCGCTCAGGCCATGTCGTCGGTGCTCGTGGCCTAAGCTGTTAGTCAGTTCGCTGTGATCTTGACCTAGTTCTGCAAGCACACCGTAACCACCTTGGCGGACAGAGTCCGGAGCCAAGCAGTGGTGATCCTCTTAGAACTCGAAATATGGGCATATGCTCCGTTTTTCTTCAAAACGGCTTCAAAGCATTATTTTTCATTCAATATCGTGTTTCTGAAAAACAGGCAAATGATAATATCATTAACCGACCCATTCCCGTGAGCTACCCTAGTAGCTTACACGGATTATCCCATCAAATCTTCATCAGAAACTGAGACTTAGAGAAGTTAAATAACTTGCCCAGGGTTACACTATTACTGAGGAGAAAAGCGAGATTCGAGGGAGTCTAGCCGAAGAGTCCTTGTTATTTACCTGTTGGACTAGAATTCAGTATTTTTTTTTTTTTTTTACAGTTGAGAAAATTCTGATGTCAGAGGACTAAAGAACTTTCTCAAGACCAAAACACAAATTTTTTGGAAATGTACAGTAATTGGCATGAGAATGAGCTTTTGCTGAAAGATTATCCCGACCTTAAAAATAATAATATAATTCTAAACACGTCCAGTAAGCCAACAAACCATATTGACTTTGTAATAAATTATCATTGGGACATATGGTCAGGTTTTTATTTTGTGACGGTGCTTTCTAGAAGCTGTTTCACAGAGAGGCGGGAGTAGAGTGTGTAAACTGAGGCAATTGGCATCGAACTAATAATCGTATTTTTTTAAATATTAGCTATTCTCATGGTTATTGAGTTAATATTTGGAAGTATTTGTAAGTTAGAAGTTATGGGAATGGCATTTATGAATATCTAGTGGTATAAAAGCACATCACCTCAAACGTTTGTTTGGCAGGAAAATAATCCTTCTAAAAACAGTTGCACGGCACTCAAGATGAGAAATAGCATGTTAGCCGTGATCAGAAAGGACTTCTTAAAAGCTGTCTTTCAGGCGGGAGGGACAGCCGTGACTCCCTAGGGAGACACAGTGTCTGTGACGGGCTGGGAGACCCAACACGAAGCCCTCTTCGTTTAAGGCCATCTTTCTGTCTTAACAGAAAAGTCATTCACATTTTCAATCCTTTCAGAGTTTGTGGAGATGCCAGCATTTCAGCTCCTTTATCGAGGTGTTTTTTTTTTCTTTTTTCTTTTTTTTTTTTTGAGACCTGCTCCTTCCTAAATTTCATTTTAAACATTAAATAAGATGCACTTTACTTCATAAGATTTGTACATTCTGTAAATTCATGGAAAATTAAATATTTGAAAAGAGATTGCATGGAGAGTGGATAGCGCTCGTCATTATTAAATGAAATCAAATGTATAATAAATCCAGAGGGATGAAGAATATTGCATAAGAGACATTCTAAGAGGCTTCTCCAACATTTATTTCCCTATGACTCTCATTTTTATGTTTTTTTTTTTTTTTTTTTTCACTTTAAAGAATATGGTTTTGTTTTTCTCTAAACACCAACTTATCTGTTCTTAAAACACAACGTGGGAAGGAGCGTTGTGCCCGACCCGGAACTGGATGAATGCGAGGTCTTCCGAAGAAAAGTGAAGCGTGAGCGTTAGGGCGCTGATCAAACTCCTGCCTGGTCTGCTTGCTTTCTTGTGTCGTACAGATTTGTCGAACCGAACATTCTGATGAAGGAGGGATAAGTAAGGACAAGTACAGCTATTATACATCAAGCGATGATCGTGCATTATCGAAATCTAGTAATTCAAAAGTCTGTGAGCAAACTGCTCAGATCAGAAAGGAGAGGATTTAAAGTCGACATAAGTGGTCTTGATAGCAGGACTCCGACTTTTAAATGTACAAATGAAATCAGTCAAAGGATGTAAAATTTCTGAGAAAACAGGATATATTGGAAAACTTAGCTGTCGAATTAAGGATACTTTTACCTCAAAATATCTACCTTTGGGGGAGTGAAAAGCCATTATGAATGGAAAGTGGTAATCAACCCAAAATGCTAGGTTTTTGGTTTATTAACAACACTTGCTAAGAACTAGAGCACTGGGTATTAGAAGCTAGGAGTTATTCTTACATTTAGCGGGGGCTGTGCTTATTATCCGAATTTTCCCTTTTTCTGTAGCCCCACTGGGACCCTGGCACCTGAGGGGTAGTGGCCACCTCCTGCTGTCCCCCGATGCTTTGCTGAGACCGTTAGGCCCCTAGGGTGACCAGAAAGCAAGGAGCAGCTCAGGCCTAAAAATGCTGGGACATATTCTAGGTCACGTAGCTAATTATTGTCAGAACCAGGGCTAGAATCAAAAATGACCCCAGACCACTGCTCTTTGCGTTTTATCGTGCTGCCTCCCCTTTACACCAGTGTTTTTCAAACAGTAGAGCCCATTTATAAAAGAAATTCTAACATAGAATCTCGGCGTATCAGAAGGATAAAAATAAAACGTTCTACTTGAAGCCAAGGTGACGAGCACAGCGCCCAGGCCATTAAGCCTTCTGGCCTCTCTTTTTCATTCCCACCAGTCACTTAAAGAAACCTGACTCCACAGAGTCAGGATTGAATGCGCACGACCTACCAGAGAGGTTTGAGTCATTGACATTCCTGTGAGGGTAACTACTTCGTTGACTGCTTTTCATAAACGTCCTTTTTGTCTAACGTCTTCACTTGAGCTGCTTTTTTTAGCTCAAAGTATGACAAACGACAGGAACAGGTAGCAAAGTGTAGTGAGCATGTCGCTGCACGCTCGGAGTCCTCCAGTCCAGAATGACAGCCGTGTTAGGGGGCCGGAGGGGAGGTTGGGAAGGACACGGAGTCCTCTGTTAGTGAAGGAGATGCCCATTTCTGTTCCATGTGCCTTGCACCTGCGCCTGTGCCAAATTTATCTGATCAAAGGTATATGCATGGAAGTAGAAAAATCCTCTCTCCACGCATCCCCAAAGTTGCTGAGTGCTTGCCTGCGGTGACAAATCCCGAGCACATGGCCCTGCTTACTTACTGCTTGGGGAACACACCTCGGTACTTACTTCTGTCCCCACCCTGTGCATTTGATTCTTAAGCTTAGAGATGATCATGACATTGCTGCTTACTTTTAAGTTGAAATCTCATTTTTGTTTCAGATTCTCCTTCTTCTGTGGTTAACAAACAGCTCGGATCCATGTCACTTGATGAGCAACAGGGTGCGTGCAACAGGAGATGCGCTAAGGCCACCCGTCCATAGTTCTCGCGCACGAACAGCTCCCCCTCACGTTCGAACAGCTCCCCCTCACGTTCCTTAGCTTTCCATTTCGGTTCCGGCCCAATAGCACTCCGTGGGCTAAGTCGCCCTCGGCGGTATCCTACACAGAGCCTTCCTGGCCCATGCAAATGATTTTCTACGTAAGCTAAGTTAATTTCTGCCTTTGGCCCTTCACACCAACTTTGAACTCTCTTCTGTAATAATCCTGTGATGGATATAAAGTCTATCCATGTTTTAAATTCTAGGTATCATAAAATTGTGTAGAACTGCGGATGTGTGGTTAGCATATTACCTAGTAGATAATTTAGAAAAGGTCATGTGAATGTAGTAATACTGACTATTACTACATTGCAGGAGTAATGATACTTGGTGTTATGTTTCACTTTTCTGGTGGTTAAGCTCCCGACAGCTTTAATTATCAGGAGTACAGTTACGAATTACAGTCACGAAGCTCCAAAGCCGCCAGTCAGAAGGGAAAACAGCTCTACCTTCCGCTTGCACTTTTTGAAGTAGGAGCGGTATAGAATCAAAGCCTTGAGCAGAGCCTGATGAGACAGATCTTACAAATAGTTTTCAAAAATTTAAAAAATAGTAACTTAGCACTAAAGCCATGTGCTCTGTTTAGTTGGCTGAAAGTTACATGTGTAAGACGACTCACTTGTCTGCAGTATTGGGGAGGTTAAGTAGTGCTATACTACCTGTTTGGTGATTTTAACTGTCTTCTTGGAGAAATATTCAGAAACTAATTTTAAAAACAAATGGGCAAACTCTTGTGCTTCCGATCTTAAGTCATCGTTTATAGACCTGAAATGACAAGTCTCGCTGTAGGGTTTTCTGCTCTTGGGAATGAATGAATGAATGGGTTGGTAGTGAACTAAGGAGTGGAGCATGCTCATTGCAGTGGCACGAGGCGCGAAGAATCGTCGCTTTCGGATGAAGCGCAGCTCTAGGAGCGTATTACGGTGTCTTATGCTGTCGTTGAAAACTGCTACCTAATCGAATTGTTTCTGGTAAGGCTGTGTGAATGTAAATAGTGTATTGCTACCAGGGAGTTTGTAGCCAGATTCGTATGCTGGAAAATCATACGGAGTAATTTCCATGCAATGATATCGAATGTCATATTCAACTCAAATTGGTACTTAATTGACATATGCTACGGGATATAGTGGAAAGAGACAAAGCATAGCTCCCTGATTTGGGGCATCAAGGCCTGGGTGAACGATGATGCCATTTACTAGGGTAGACTAGTTTGGAGCCAGAAATCAGGAGGTTTTTGGGTTTTCTTGGCCACGTAAAGTACGATATGTCTTTTAGTCATGTCGGTAAAGACGTTATATAGGAGGTCGGCTATCGAGCAGGTTCGGGAGCCGCTGCATCATAATAGACCATCCTCTTGTAACCGTCGTAAGTCCTCCGGGCGGAAGTGTCTGATGAGGGACCGTGTGTCCAAGTTCGGTGAAGCCCGAGCTTTGACGTGCCTTTTGCTTCAGCTGGCTCACGTTGTTTACAGCACCGGGGACTTCCACACCCCAGGCCGCTGTTACCCGAAGGTGACTCGCCGTGGGAGGGGAGAGAAACTCCCCAGCACCCTCTTTTTCGCCTGGACTAACGCAGTGACCTCCTAGCTGCCCCGCTCACGTCCACTCAGGCTACCATCTCTTCTTTACCAACAGGCAGAGGGAACTTTTTAAGATGTAAATCTAATCGTGTCATTCACCTGCCTAGAACTCTTTGCTCGTGCCCCTTTGCCCCTCAGACCAGCCTAAATCACACACCTTGGTTCTCAGCGCCCCTGCATGGCCTGGCTCCTCTCTCTCCAGCCTTGGGTCACCCTCCCTCGCCCGCTGAGCTCTCGCCGGACGGGCCCGCTTCCAGGTCTCCTAACACTCTTCCCGCTCTCATTCCTCGTCTGCGCTGTTCCCTCTGCCAACAATGCTTTTCCCTGCAGCCACTTCTCATCAGATCTCACTTAGATGCCACTTTCTCAAAAACGAGCTGACCCTTCGATCTGAAGTGGTCTCCCCGTTTTTTCCTCTCTCTTTGTCACCTGTCTTCCTTCCCTCATTGCATTGTCCACATTGATAATCTTACATTTATTTGAGGGATTATTTAAAGTCTTTCTCCATGTTCTCTAAATGTTGTTTTTCATTCACGACAATATGCTCAGTACCTAACACCACAGCTGTTATGCATTAACAATGAATATTTGTTGAATGAGTGAGTACACGAGCTAATTCTTTAAGCAGTGGAACGCTGCAGAAATTACTTGAGCTTGGGAGACCCGTGACAAGACTTATGTATTGGAAAAATCATTTTGGCAGCGTTATAGATGATCCATTAGAAGGGAGTAAAATGGACAACGGCAAGAGCACGTAAGAGGCTATTGCAGTGGTCCAGGCGAGCGGTGATGAGGGGTCCAGTAAGGCAGTGGTGGTGGGGACGAGAACAAGGGCCGAATTTTTAAAATAGTTAAGAGACAATTAGTGAGACTTTGGGACTGATGAGCAAATGCCATCAGGACGTCTTGTTAGGGTGTTAGCGATACCGTCAGCCAAGGCGAAGATTTCAGGAGGAACAGCTGGTTACAAGGGGAAAAGGGACATGAGATTTTCTTGATACATTGAGTTCGAAGTATCTTTGGATGTCCACATGGAGGACTCTCTCAGACGGGTGGATATATGATTCTGAGAGTCACCAGAGAGGTCTGAGGTAGAGATAAGAATTAGGAATCGGCCGCTTACAGGGAGCAGTTGAGACCGTGGGAGGGGAGAAGATTGTCCACGGAAAGGATGAAGTGGGACGAGGACAGTCTACACTCCAAGGAGCAGGCGGGCAAAGGATGCAGCTGAGGAGACCGAGAAGGAGGGTCCCCGAGCAATGGGGGCGGAAGGCGTGCCACGGCCGAAGCCGGGGACACAGAAGCTTGAGGGGGACCTGGCCGCGGTGCCGTGGGACGCGTCGCTGTCACGTACGGGAAGGACTGAGAAACGCTTTTTGAGTTTGGCGGCTCGGGGGTTATCGATTGGTTTTGCTGCAGTTCGAGTGAAATGATGGAGGCAGAAGCCGGACAGCAGCGGTCTGAGGAGACAGATGTCGGGGCAAAAAGGCGGGGACGCCGGTCTGCAGGTGGCTTTTTCCACTGAGAACGGAAAGGTCGCGCGGAAAGGCACTGTCGCGAGGGGGCAGAGGTCGCAGTCTCCAAACCGACCACACCTGTGGAACAAGGAAGATCCTGGGGAGCAGGTTCCGGGTAGAGGGGACACTGATGTCTCCATGTATGTTATTTCAAGTTTTAACCTTTGTCGAGACTCTCGACGTCCATTTTGCCCTGGAGAGTGGAAAAGGCTGTACATTTAGTAAGGTTTCTTTCTAAATACATCTCTAATGGTCGTTTAAGCATATTTTAGACTTTCTTTTTCATACTTTTGAAGAGACACTAATATATCATGAAGTAATAATTCAGCCGGGTATTTATCTGGCAGTGTTCACCATCCTCCAGGTGCTCAGGTGCTTTTACACGTTGTTCAGTTTCCCATAGTAGTTTATAGGTTTCTTTATTTGGGGCAGTTACCAACGGTAAAAATGTTACTAATAAAAATTTAAGATTTTTAATGGCTTACTTCCCTGAAAAACACATTATTGAACTGGTTGATTGCAACCAGTGTTCTCGCTTGAATTTTTAACAAAAGCCCATTTGAGAAACGAAAATATGTTTAGTTTAAACGTTGAGATTAGGCTTCCCGGCTACCCCAATAGTTTTTATTTTCTTTTACCAAAATATTTATTTAAGAAACAAAATGGTTGGGAAATAAGTATACAGCATGTTGTAGAACTTTCCAGTGTTTTGCAAATCTCGGGTGTGTGTACACACACGTTGACGGCCCTTCTGCAGAAAACATTTTTCAGTAAGCGGAATGATGTCTGTCAATGTGCTTTGTTTAGTTTGAACAGTATGTTCTAGGGAGTAGTTTTGGTTTTCCTTTTTATTTGTGTCTGTATGTTATGCCTTCTGTACAGGAAGGGAAAAAGTCCTCTTCATATTTCTCTTATCTGTTTACATTATTAAAACTAACAACATTTTCCTCTTAGAAATAGGCCGGCAATTTCCCCTTATTTTATTAAAATAACAAAAGAAACCTGTTATCTTAACATTTAATTTTTTTTTTTTAATGCCTAGAGCACCTGGTCTTCCTAGGTGGTCTCCCATCCGAGTACTAACCAGCCCCGACCCTGCTTAGCTTCTGAGATCAGACGATTCCCTGAAAAACACATTATTGAACTGGTTGATTGCAACCAGTGTTCTCGCTTGAATTTTTAACAAAAGCCCATTTGAGAAACGAAAATATGTTTAGTTTAAACGTTGAGATTAGGCTTCCCGGCTACCCCAATAGTTTTTATTTTCTTTTACCAAAATATTTATTTAAGAAACAAAATGGTTGGGAAATAAGTATACAGCATGTTGTAGAACTTTCCAGTGTTTTGCAAATCTCGGGTGTGTGTACACACACGTTGACGGCCCTTCTGCAGAAAACATTTTTCAGTAAGCGGAATGATGTCTGTCAATGTGCTTTGTTTAGTTTGAACAGTATGTTCTAGGGAGTAGTTTTGGTTTTCCTTTTTATTTGTGTCTGTATGTTATGCCTTCTGTACAGGAAGGGAAAAAGTCCTCTTCATATTTCTCTTATCTGTTTACATTATTAAAACTAACAACATTTTCCTCTTAGAAATAGGCCGGCAATTTCCCCTTATTTTATTAAAATAACAAAAGAAACCTGTTATCTTAACATTTAATTTTTTTTTTTTAATGCCTAGAGCACCTGGTCTTCCTAGGTGGTCTCCCATCCGAGTACTAACCAGCCCCGACCCTGCTTAGCTTCTGAGATCAGACGAGATCGGGCACATTCAGGATGGCATGGCCGTAGACTTAGTGTTTAATTTTTAAGAGGACATAAGGAAATTTTAAATTTCAGACATGACAAAAGCCATTTGCTTTATATTCAGTACAGCGATCACCATCAAATAGAGGTTGATAATGCTGTTAAGTTTGAAACTGAAGCCAGTTGTGCATCAGTCAGACATTCATTTTCTTTTCTAGATTTAAAGAAATATAACTTATTTTGTAGGTTTTAGAAATAGAAATGTTAATGGCCACTCGGTACTATTTGACATAAGCAGACCTCTTTCGATGTTTGTAAAACATTTACTTACAGAAAGAGACTTGTAGATGATCAGAAACCAGTGAAACAGACTTTATGAATTCTGCTATGGTACATGGAAAATGGAAAAATTGGACCAGTCATGCATTAGATGCGTGTGCGTTCCCTTAATTGTACACTGTCCTCAAGTGGAAAACTTATGTTAGTCATATCTTCTTGACAACATTACAGCAAACAACATTTTAGATAGCTACAAAATTTACTCTGACAGTTTTAATTTTTGTTAAATAAATATCTGATTGAGGCCTGCCATGTTAATGGGGCATATAAGTTTTAATATTCCTCACACTGGAATATATCTGTAACTATTACATTTTAAATTCTGGAGAAAAAATAAGTTAGTGAAATCAGACTTCCTTCTAGATTTTGAATATTCCTTAGAACTAATTATCACTTAGATGTTTAGGCTGAGTATTCTCATGAAACCTTTCATAAGCCAAAGCGGGGTAAAGCGAAGAAGCAATTGCCATTAGTTTATACGGAAAACCCTTTGAGCATTTCCACACCAAATCAGACCAACTAACACATGAAACCTAACGCGTTAGTAAAAGCGGGAAGCACAAGGTAAATGAGGACAAAGCGCAGATGCTCAGAGGCACAGTTCAGAGTTCTGCGGAGATGCCGACTGGTTTCTGGGGGAGGAGCTGGGCGGGGCCAGGCGCTGCTCAGGTGCTCCCGCCTCCGACAGGTGCTGCAGAAGAAATGCTGGCTTCACCCCGTGTTTGCTGTTCACCCTCATTTGCGATCTGGAGGAGGCACCGATGGGACTAGCAGCTGACTTTTCTAGCCTCTGCAAGGGTAGCTCTCAAGTTTTGATTGGGCACCATTAAGTGAATTGGACACTTCTTAAATAGGTGATCTGGAAGAGGAATAAGGGGCCGAAGGGGACGTGTCGAAGGAGGCGGAGCTCACAGCCTGGGTCCAATACGTTGCATTTGAGGTGTCTCTGCGAGGCACCCAAGGGGAAAGGTCTGATGGGCGGTTGGCCGGCTGGGTGTGAAGCTTAGGAGAGACGGCAGAACGAGAGAAGCAGATCTGGTAATTGTTTGCATCTAGATGGTAACCGAAGCCATGGAAGTAGATGGAGTCATTTAGGATAAAAGTAAAAAGCGAGAAGAGGGAGTAGACATAGCTAAGACATCTCAGGAAGATCCGGAAGATTGCGGAATGACAGCTTTTGCGAGGAGATGGCTGGCGAAGGAGACGGAGGAGCCACGGGGGTTGCCGATACGAATTACATACATCACTTCTGAGGAGTGACCGCTATCCGTGGGTAGCGCTTAATTAAAATAGTGGTTTCTTTAAGCAGTCTTACTTTCTACTTTGTATTCAAGCAATTTCCAGGAGTTCAGTAAGTAGGCAGTTCCTATAGAAGGAAATCTGGGTAACTAGAGAAAAAAAATCCAGCTCCGCGGTTTCGTCATCTGTAAAGTGGAGATGCCATGTGCTGCAGAGGTTTAAAGCGGAATACAGATGTGTCCTGGGACGTAGTAATGCCCAATACATTTGCTTATTATTATGACACTTTCTGTATAATGTCACGTGTATGTTTAGGTGAAGCTCTAAACTTTAGGCTCTTAAATTAAAACTTGTTAAGCAGAATATTTTCTCTACACCTGTGCATTCTGTAAATAAGGCTTTCGGTAATACAGTTTTTAGAATGTTTTTGCTGATCCAACCTCTAACACATGAAGCAAGTTAGGGAAAATTTAAATGATTACAAATAAAATAAAAATAAATTTAACTTTTTAGCACTTTAAAGTAGATTTTGCTTAGATATTTGTAGCTTAAATGTGCATTTTGTCGTAAATACAAATTGTGAGTTAATTCACTAGTAAGCTAGGGATCTCTTTTTTTTTTTTGGAGAAAATTCAACCCGATAGATTGTAGATGGTCAAACAAAGGAAAGAATAGAATAGAACAGGCGAGGGAATGCGTTTACTCATATTAATTCCTCGGTTAAAGAGACCAGGCTGCATTGTGTAGTGCTTCAGCCAGGGACACTGGTTATTCATCTGCAGGGGGATGGCTGGGCTGGGCTGGGCTGGGCTGGGCTGGGCCTGCAGTTTCTGTAGCTCACAGAAGCCTGCATTCTACTGGTATAGTGATGGGCTGGTTTTACACAAACTGGTGAGTTCACTAACAACTTAAATGAACAGATTCTGTCAACTGTAGGCATTTAATAAGTACTACTATGTTTTACCAGATTGACAACATATAGATTATACTCATGAGAGATTAAATAGTAATTTAGTAACAGATACCATAAAGAAGAGGATTTTAATTGACATTGTCTCAGGAAGCTTGTTGCTTTTTGGGGGTGAGGGTCCTCCATGAATTTAAGATATCTTCTGTGCCATTCTGAACTCCCAACATCACTGTTTACTGTATTCCCGTAGTCACAGCATGCAGGTATCTGTAACTGTCTCTTTCATTTTCTTCAAAAGGAAAGTTTGGATGCAGCAGTAAGTTTCACAAGGCTGCTCATAACACCTCTGTGAACAGGGCGGAGCTAAGAAATTCCGCCCCGCAGCTCTCTCACGCCTGCTTTTGTTTGCGACCCCTTCTGTACTTGAAAGTGAAAAGAAATGGCAAAGTACGTTATCAAATGGTATGAGAGAGAACAGAGAACTAGCCCCAGCTTCCTCAGCGCTCTGTCCCCACCAGTTCCAGAGGCTTACCATGATCATGGCTTTGGTGGCAGTGGGACAAAAATTTCAACAGCAGAACCAAAGAATAAAGGGAAACTATGTGGACAAATGACTAACAAACAGCAAAATTTTCAGAGGTGGTCAGGGGTAGGACAGATGTGTTAAAAGTCCCAGCCTTGATCATTTTATGTAAGCTAAAGGTCTGTTAATTCAGTCATTTTATCAGAATGCCATTCGGCAAAATCCCCCCTCTAAAACACTGATCGTGATACTGAATCTTGGAAAGTTGTAATGAATTGTTCATTTATTTCCAGCCGCTGTTTATATGAAGGACATAGTCATGACGAAAGTAGTACAGGAACAAAGTGACTTTACCATCTGGGACACCAGCTTTAGAATCATTCACACTTTTATTGTCAATAGTCATTATCGTTATAGGAGAGGATTTCTCATGGGTTAGAAGTGAAGGCGGTAAAATGGGTCCTCCCGAGTTGAGTTTTGTTACTTGACGTCTCACGTCTGGGCGAGAATCCCTTTTCCTTTCTGCTCCTGTTGTGTTTGTGAAGTGTCGATAATTGTCCTCACAGGATGAAAGCTAGGGCCGAGGTTCTCCGAGATTCTCTTTTAATGAGTGCACCGATGTCTTCAAGAGGCATGCGAAAGATCTAAGTCTGTTATTGCCTAATAAGCACAAAGCCTGAGAAATTTTGGCTTTATTAAGCTGTTATTGCTTTTGTTGTTATTTTTCAAGACAAAGCTTAGTTTTAGTACTGTTATTATCAGTCCTTGATGGTATCAAGAAAACAAGTATATCACAGAAGAGTTTTCTTTCTGCAGGCAACTGGCAGAAATGGTACATGTTTGATTATATAGTAACTTGTATTTTCTGTGTATTTAATCCCGACCCCCCCCCACCCCCAAGCTGTTATTTCTCATAAAAAGGAAACAGTTTAAAGCACTATTTAATTTTGTCCTTGAATATCTGTGTACTCTTTGGCGGGGGGAGTATGACTTTGAACTGGTCTGTATCAATTTCTGCAGGGTTTCTTGATTCTGTTTGCCATTAGACAAAGATTTTATACATTGAAATTGATGTATTTCATGGAAATCACCTATTGAATCCTAAGGCGAAATTTTCGTTTCCGTAATTTAGTGATCAAATCCCTTGCAGATTAGTTAGGAGGAGGAGATTTGAAATATACCAAAACACGTGATCTTATCACAAAGAGAATGTCAGAAAATAATAAAGCACAGTAAATTTTCTTCTCCCCCAGAAGAGTGGAGGCTGTGATCCCCTCCAGATGCTGAGTCTGTGACTTTGAAAGACAGAATTTCCTTTGGGAGCTCTTGCATCTTGTCAGTGTTTCTGAGGTAGTTATTCTTGATGCCCTAGCAACCGAAGTAGAAAATCCCGAGCGTTCCATTAAATAAAAGTACCAGTTTGTAACCTATGTCATTGCATGTCGATAGTCTTTGATTCCCTAATGACTACATATGGTTCTCAAATGTGTTTGATTTCCATCTGAATCAAAGGGAGTCATGTACACAAAGCTAGAATATGGTGCAATGCCACTTCGAAATACGAGTGTTTCTATAACACTTGCCTTTGAACTTGAAGTGAGAACCATAACAGGTGTGAGAAAGAATTATGACAAGGACAGCCTGATTTAAGTTTTATAAATTTTAGGAAATGTCATCTTTTTATTGGTTTCAGAGACTTTTTCAAATGTTTTAAACACAATTTTCAGATAACAATAATGAAAAGCTGAGCCCCAAACCAGGGACAGGTGAACCAGTTTTAAGTTTGCACTACAGCACAGAAGGAACAACCACCAGCACAATAAAACTGAACTTTACAGATGAATGGTAAGTTAATATTTTTGTGAAGATGTTCTTAGCCGTTTTGTAGGATTGTATTAGATATTATTTTTAGCACTTCGTCATCGTTATGTCTTGTTTTGCTGTAATGTATTGGTTCTCAAACTTGAATGTGTTTCGGAATCACCCGGACAGCTTGTGAAGACAGATGTCTGGGCCCCCCTCGCAGAGTTCAGTTGAGAATTCGCATTTCTAACGACTTCCCAGGTGATGCTGAGGTTGCTGGTCCTGGGATATTTCTTTTGGTAGAAAATGCAAAAGATTAGAATTAATCACCTATCCACCATTTGTACAAAAATAACAAACCTAACATTTTGGAGCTTTTTGCCATCTAGGTGCTATGTGTAGGTATGTGTGTGTGTATGTATATATATATATATATGTATATATATGTATGGTTTTTGTTTTGAGTTTTAAAACTTAACTTTAATCATGCTAAATATACTCTGTTCCCCTGTGCATTTATTTAACTTTACAATAAATATTCACGTTGCTACTCAGTTTTCGTAAATATTACTTTACTAGTTGTACATCCATCAAGTAGATGTAGCACAATTTACTTAACTGTTTCCCTTTAATTGGGCAGTGAATTTGTTTTCCTTTTTTATTTAATCAAATAAGGCTAAATGAATGTCTTTGTCTACAGGCATTATTCCCCACCTTTAAGATTGAGATATATTTCTAGAAATGAACTATATCTAGGTCAAAAGATACTGCCAAATTATTTTCAAAAGCATCTTCTATCATTACATTTCTACCAGCAACGTATGAAAAGCACACATTTTGCTGTCTCCAGGCCAGTGTTCGAAATGCTAATTTATTTTTAACTTGTATATTTGATTTTAAAATAATATTTATTTTTATTTAATTGATTATTAGTAATGTTGAACTTTATATTTACTTAATGGTTGTATAAGTTCTCTTTAATGACATTTCTGATTATGTTGCTCATTAATCTAGTTAAATCTTACACTTAACAAAATCAAGCTATGCAAGTTTTTTATATTCTTTGCCACTGTCTTGCGGTCTTTTGCTTGAGATTTGCCTCCCCAATTTTTAAAAATTTATTACTATCGCTATATTAATATTAATTACCACAAAGGCAATTTAATCTTTCTTAATATATCATATAATTAATTATATATTAATATAATTTATATTATTAATATATAGTAATCATGTTTTATCACCAATATATTAATTATTTGGTATAATTAATATATTAACATTCTTGATTGTATATTAATGTAATTACATATTATATGTTAGTATGATATATAATATGTATAAGTAATATATAATGTGGCTATATATTGTTTCTTAATATATAATTATATGTTCTTATATGATAATATTACTTATGTATTTCGAATCACTGGTTTTCATTTGTGTTTATGTGTGTATGTGTTTTATATTAAGATCTTTGATTAAGTAGGATTTCCAAGTATCATTGGATACCTCGTCTGTTCCAGAGACTATTCGAGACACTGGGAACACATCAGTGAGGAAACTAGCCAGACCTCCCCGCCCCGCTGGGGCTCCCATTGCAGGTGGAGGAGACAGGCAGACGGAGAGACAGACAGACAGACAGAGACAGAGAGACGTACTGAATAAGGGCATCGTGTGACCCGTTAGAAGGTGCTAAGTGCGTGGAAGGAAACGGCAGGGACGGGCGAAGGGCAGACGGAGGGATGAGTGGGCATCGCTGAGGAGATGATATTTGGACAGACACTTGAAGGGTGAGGAGCAGTGAGCCCTGCACGTAGCTGGGGGAAGGGCAGAGACGAGGCCAGTGCCAGGGCTCTGGAGAAGAGGCAGACCTAGTGTGTTCGGGGACCTTTGAGAGTTTACACGTGTAGCCGGAGTGGAGCGAGCGCAGGAGGCAGGAGCCGCGGATGAGGCCGGAGCCGCGGATGAGGCCGAGTCGGGGAGGAGGCGTTTAGGAGGATTAGGATGGCTGGTTGCTGTGCGGCCCGTAGCCGAGGGTGGAAGCCTGCGGACCAGGGTAGAGGCTTTGGCAGTAGCACCGGCGAGGGGCGGCGGTGCCTGGGACCGGGAAGGGAGCCGGGGACGGAGGAAGAAGTCACTGCATTCTAGACGTAGGGAATGAAGGTGCAGGCGGTAGCATTTCTTTATGGGCCCTAGGGTTGCACCTCGACTTTGAAAGATTGTGATTTCTATGGCCCTTTCTCGTAATACGTAATTTAAGATCATAAAAGATTTTCAGACTAATTCTTTCTGTCTTTTCCCATGATTCTTGGCAGAAGGGGCTGATTTCTTATAAAGAATCTCTGAGCGTTTTATTTTATTGTTTTGGAAAAAAGGTTAGTCCCACTCTTCTTTTGAATGTTCTTTTTCTTCTCTAAAAACTGACCATGAATTATGTTCTCTAATCCATCAGTTTCTTATTTCTTTATCAAAAAAGTAATACCTTTTTTTTCTGATTATGAGGGTATTCAACACTCATCATAAAAGCATTTCAAAAAAAGGGTGCAGTCCTTTCCATCTCTGCCGTGATGGTGTCTTGCTTTTGGTTTAGCTTCTTTGGTGACAGATGAGGCAGGAGAGCATCCTAAGTAAGAGCTCGGACTCTGAACTTGATGAGCTGTCGAACCTCTCTGACCTGAAGACGGGCACATTTATTAGAACCTACTTCAGAGGTTGTTGGGAAGGTATGATGAGATCATGCAGAGAAGTTCAGAGCGCTGAGCACAGTGACTGGCATGCCACAGGCCGCAAGGAATCGGAGCTCCAGGTGTCAGCTTTCGTAAATTGCCTTTTAGACGCTTTGCACAGTTTCCTACTGTGGTGTTTATCTTGTTCTTATTGGTTTGTAAGAGGCATTTATTTATTATAGAGTTAAGCGAGGATGAAATCATTTGTCTTTCATTTGTTGCAAATATTTTTCCCAGTTTGTTGTTTGTCTTTTAGTTCACCTCTGGTGGTTTCGCTTTATGGTTACAGCCTGTGAGCTCATGCTTAGAAAAGCCTTGTCCTGCCCAGGGTTAGGGGGAAGTTTTCTGTTTTCCTCTTATATTGCTATGATTTTCTATCAGAGATTATGTTTACTCCTACAATTATTTCACCATAAAGTGTGATGTAGAGCTATAGCTTAATTTTTCCACATGGCCGTTTCTTTGTCCCAGTACCATTTATTGAATAATCAATTTATTTCTGTGATTTAAAATGCCATATTAACATATGCTAAATATATTTACTTGGTTACTTTGTCTTTTCAACTAACAGCTCTCTATTCTTACATCAGTGCCATAATGTTTTAATTATCATAACTGTTAGACACTGAGCATTTTATTTATGCCTGTATCATAACTTTCTCAATGGAAAAAAACAAGGACTTCTGTATCACATTAGCTTCTCTTTACTAAAATGACTATGTATTTCTTTCTGATAAAAAGAAATACATATTAATTGCAAAAAAAAATCAATTTAGAGAAAAGTATGAAAGAATCACTTGCAATAAAATCTACTGATATAACAACATTGGTTCATGTTCTTTCTGACATTTTTCTCTGCGTATATACCCATATCGATATATATTCTTTTTAAAAATACACATTATACGTGAATGCCCTTTTTAAAAATGAAATTGACTTTTACAGTTAGCCGAAAGGATTTTTATGAAATCTTGACAAAAAGTTCATGATAATTTGCATTGTTTACTGATCACTGCTATTTGTCTATAATTAATGTTTTTTTAAGTTACTGTAACTCTTAAATTTCATTTTCCTGTTCACAATTATTCCAAATTTAAGAAATGGTTGCATTTCCGTGCGTTTAACTTTCATCTTAGTCAGATTGTTACACATTTTCCTCTATTTTCTTCCCCACCCAATTCCCTTCTGACCCATATGTGATGCCATGATTTGTCACAGAATACTCACTGAAAGTCGTTCATTTAAATCGGTCTAGCACTCTGCTCTAGGCAAACATGCCAGCAGAGTTATGGTCATCAGCAGGTGGGTGTGAAAGCTGAACCAGAAAACATGACGCTGTCCTCCTGCAAAGAACTGTAATGCCCAGTCACCTGTGCATTTGAACAGTCCAGGACTGGAGGGGACCTGCAGAGGGCAGTTCAGGGACCAGAGAGGTGTCTAGGCCCGTTTTCAAGTATCAATTTAAAAGTAGCCTAGAACAACAAAGTCTAAGAAGGCATATGATCGGGTCTGTAGGACCGTTAAAGGGATGGATATGGTGGTCCATCTCTAGTGAGGATGAGAAGGGAGGTGATGTCACTAAATTAACATTCAAGAAGGAGATATGTAGAGAAACAGCAGATCCTAGAAGTGTAAAAGCAGTGTAGAAGCGGCCCTTTTGTATTTTTAAATCTCTTTTTTGAGATTAGAGTGGATTGGCATAGTCACCTTGATGATGAAAAGCGATGTTTAGCGAGTACTATGAAAATAATAAACCCTGTGTTTTATCTGTAGCCTGAATTTTTTGAATGAATACTGTAGTAAAAGATAAAAGTTATCCTCAAGTTCGTATTTCTTAACTTCTCGGTGGGACCGCTTGTCTCGTTTCGATGGCAGGAGCAGCACCGCCTCGAGCTCCAGAGGGAACGGGAGCCACGGCCGGCCCGGGGGCGAGGACGGGCCCTCGGTCCCCCAGGGCTCAGAGCAGCCGCCCGCAGGAGATAGCGACACAAGTAAGCTCTCATTTTGCTTCTGTCGTTAGAAAACCCCAATGTTGGACATCTACTTATTTTTTCTGTTCTCTCGGTGCAGTTTTGTGTCTTGTTTTTAATAAATTACTTTTGGCTCTGTAGTTCAGCTGTTATTGTTGATTACAAAAACAATGGGTGCACGAGGGCCGGGCCGTCAGCATTTCAGGTGGGGCCTCGCAGGGCAGCCTGGTTCCCCTCTGCGGACAGGGCGGCCGGAGTAGGTGGGTCGTGGTCAGACTGACAGTGCGTGAGATGTGAATGTTGATCTGAATTCTCTTTTTCATTTTTATACCTAGCTGTGGAGTTCAGAGTATCTGCCTTGATTTTTATGAGAGTGTGGGTGGTTTATGGAAAGGAAAAAGAGGAATCAAGTCTAGATGAGTTATGAGTGACACCCATTTCATACAGGAAGTACCGTTATCAGAATCCTTTTCTAGAATATTTTTATGTAACTATTATATGGAAGTTAGTGGTCTAGCACAGAGCCTGGAACAGAGAAGATTTTCAATAAATACTTGATAAATGAAGCAATAAATGAATTCTGTTTCTTTATAAAGTGAATAGACACCTCAGTGTAACAGAGTTTACAAGAATCTAATATGTGTGAGACAACTGTCTGATAAGCAGATGTCCAGTTAGGAGCTAAAAACTGATTCTTCACGGGTCTTCGACTTTAATTCCAGAAATAAGTATTTTCAATGGACAAAACAGAATTAAAGGTGAGGTCAACTTAGTACTATGTGCTCACGATAATTCAGATTATATCAAAAGCAGATTATACCCTTTGGGCAGAAACACAGTCTGTTTTAGGTTTAAATTTTGTGAAGGTTAAGAAAAAAAGCAAGCTCGAGGAACGTCAGCTGTGAGGGATGATCTGAGGCCGGGACTCTTCACCGAGAGTTGGCGCTGAGGGTGGGGGCGGGGCCGTGGGCGGGGCTGTGGGCGGGGCTGCAGCCCACCCTTGATGGCGTTTGTACGAACTTCTGTGTGCGTATGTGTTTGCATCCTGCTGCGGGGAGGTTTTATCAGAGTTTCAAACGTTTCTATGGCCTAAAAAAAGTAGTGAACTACTTCTACCTAGGAAAGCTGGAGTATTAAATCGGTGCTTATTTTTCTTTAAAAATTCGGATTTCATGATCATTTGGTTTATTTCCCAGAAGCCCCTGAAGACTCATCGGATGATGTGACAGTGAATCAGGAAGGTGCATCCTCAGAAGACATAGCTCAGAACCGCGTAGATACAGGTGAGTTGTCCTCTGTACGCAGTTGCTTCATGTGGGAAAATAAGAAGCCTTAATCTGTGTCCGCCTTTCCAGAGTTAATGGCATGTTTGGAATTTTCCTCTCCCTGTAGGAGAGTTAGACTTTATCTTAGGAAGTGTCTGTGTCAGCTTCGAAGTTAGTTTAAATAATGAACGTTGCCTACAGCACCGACTGTCACTGCTTTATTTTCTGACAGCACAATCAGACAGGTGCACATCCGAACCCTCGGATTCCAGCTCAGGTGAAAGGAATGACTTCAACCTTGATAGCCCTTGTGAGGTTCCAGAAGAATCCTCTTTGTCTGAGAAAGACAAGGAACCGGGAACTTCAGATCAGACAGGCACCGAGCGTGCTGCGGATCACGGCCCCGCCAGTCCCGAGCCTCAGCCGCAGACGGGGGCCGTGGGGCCTGCGCCTCGTGAGGACACGTCGGCCAGGGACTCAGCTCTGCAGGACACGGACGACAGTGACGATGACCCGGTTTTGATCCCAGGTGCAAGGTATCGAGCAGGACCTGGTGATAGGTTGGTAAATTTTTAATTAACACGAACTGTAAGAAGTATAATTCACAGGCTTTCTTCGAAGTCACTTAGAGGCTTCTGTCCATTTTTGACATTTGCTTCCTCTGACGGTGTCTTAGTCGTATAAATTCACAGAATTGTTTAAACTGTAAATCGTTTCACACACTACATTCTTTGAGCAGAGTGCATTAGGAGGGGAAGGAAAAAAATCTCATTGTTTTATTTCTCCACCACAGGCTCGCTCCTCATTTTACAGATCAAGAGAAAGGAATGTTGCATGACCACCGGGTCATTTATAGTCACGATCATATTTAGCTGTCAGATTGCCCTGTAGACATCCTGGCCTTTGCTGCTTTTCTTTGGATTTTTTTGGATTTTTTTGGATTTTTTTGGATTTTTTTTAATGTTCAGTTTTTCTGCTTTTCTGTTGACCCTAGATCAAGGAAGTGTGATAACAGTTCTCGTTTTGAGAACATTGCGTTTTTCTTTGATTTATGTTAAACTTAGTAACTCAGTTTAGAAAATGAAAAATTATAACAAATAACAAATAATGTAACTAAAATAAGAATTGAATTACTAACATGTTTATATACCTTTCCCATTTTTATATGTGATCGTAAGGATATATTTTATTTTTTAGTAGATGAAGTAAATCTTTTAAAGTATATTGCATTCCATACTTTTCAAAAACTGTGTCCACATTTCGTGCCATCATACCTCATTGTAAGTCTGTTCTCTTTCAGGAAATCAAATTTTATCTTTACAATCCTAGCTCACACAGGAGAAGAACCATTTCACATATTTATGTGTTCAATATATTGCTATTTATAAACTATTCTGACATTTCTGTCAGGCGAAAAATACAATGAAAAGGTTAATTTACCGTTAAAGAATAACGGTGTTGTATAATGACTTGAGTTTGAATCCTGGTTTTACCTCTTACCAGCTATATTTTCTCAGTCAAATTGCTGAGTGTCTCTTTAAGTTTCAGTATCTTTATCTATAAAATGGGGTTTTGATTACCTAGAATTGTAAGAATGTTTTAAAAATCAATCACAGGGCCTGTCTCACACTGAAAGCACTAAATAACTGATAGTTATATTAAACAACCAGGATATTCTGTGCGGCCACTTAAACGGCAGTTACAATACTAATGGCTCTGGGAATACATACTGACAGAGGACCAGCAAAAATCCTGAGCAGCGTAGCTTGCAGTTCATTGACCCTGCCTTAGTGTGAAAGGATACGTATCTTCCTTGAGTCAGATTTAGTCCAAGTGCTTGCTTTGCAGTGGCACTGTTTGTAAATGTAAAAGAAGCCATCTTTCTGTTTGCACTCAGAGACGAATCATACATCTTCCCTCTACCTGCACACATTAGTCTTTAGCATTTTTAGAATACATTTTAGACAAGTAAAATTAGTTCCATTTCTTTCCTGCCCAGAGGGAGTCCCTTTAGAATATCATTACCACTTGGTGGGTACAGGGAAGGTTAGCAGGCGTGGCACAGTCTGCAAATCAGATTGTTGGTTTCTGAAACCCAGAGTGGAGGGCTAGAGTCCATAATTATTTTAAGCTTGTGCATTTATGGCCTTCTGTTATGTAAGTGAACATATGTCCTTGGTTTTTTTCCTGTATTTATGTAACAAAAGCGATTCTAAGGTCACAATTGAAAATGGAATTTAAATACCTGCTTTTTAACAAAATGTACCGTATCACCTTCCACGTTTGTTTGTTTAAATGAGAACTTATATTTTTAATAGATATTAGACATTTGCAAAAAAAAAAAATCATTGTTACTTAGCATCTTCTATCCGGGCTAATTACAAGACTTTTATAGCAAGCCTGCTTTATAGCCGAGGAAACTGAGGGTACTAGGCAGAGGTTTTGTATATTCTAGACCTAAGGTGATTTTTTTTTTTTTAAACACAGTAGTATAACATCAGTTAAAACAGATTTGGGAAAAGAGTGGGTCCTAGGGCATCCGAAACTTCTTGAAGTATATTATCCTCAGTTTGGAAATATTACCAGAAACCGTAATAGCTTTCTGCTGATCTTTATCATTTATTTATCATTTTTATAACGTTCAGATGATTTATATGTTCTAAGGGTCCTCCTCGGGGTTGGATTGCCACAGAGTTGGCATCTGATAGCGTCAGGCAGCCAGCTGGACTAGCAGAGTATTTCAGAGGAGACAGGACCAGGGACAGTGGCCCAGAACTGGCCCCGCGTCCTACGGGTACTGAATTCATACCCTCGTATGATCCAGATTTGAAACCACCTCTGGGCCTACATTTGCTTCCCTGCTTTTCGAAAAATTAAATATAATTAATAGTCTACATAGTCCGTTTAGGTATTTAGCCTTCGTTTGTCCCATGCGTTTCGTTTTGTTCTATAGGACATAGTAGTAAACTGAAGAGTAACAGAAAAATAATAAAATTCTTACCTTCGAGAAACTTAATTTATTGAAGAACCCATTTATAAGAACATGAAAGACAGTTTTAATAAATTTATAAAATTAAATACAGTTTATACAAAGATGTACATGTGGAGGGGACGCTGAAGTGATCACAGAGACTGTTTCACAATTACACCAGTTTTTTTTAAAATTCGTATTACTCTTTCCTAGCTATTTACCAAAAATTGTAAATGGTGAAAAACCTTCCTTCTGATTTTTATCTAAATAATTTTTAAAGTTCCAAACTTCCTTAGCACCGTCTTGAGCGGCTCTCGAACTATCTGAATGAGGCCTGCTTCTAATACTTCTGCACCAAAGGGCCCTTCCCCCTGAGACCACAGCCCACTCACCTTCATTAAACCTGGAGGAGTAGGTACGTTGTATCCTAAAGAGAGAAAGTTTAAGAAATTTTGCTTCTTAAGCACGTGAGAAGCATCATTTACTAGCTCGGAAGTAGGCTTATGATCGAGAATTCATTTCCGCAGCAACAAGGGATCCCAAAGCTCCACTGTAAAAATCAAGCCATTTGGTCCTTAGGGTCTTAGGACACATTCCACACGTGGAGGGAATGCCCGCCCGAGGGACGCATGTTTCAGAGAGAAGGCCATCGAGGTTGGTTTGATTCGGACGGAGAAATGGCCCGAAAACTAAAAGTGCTAAAAGTATATACTTACAGCTGTACCTTACTTTGTATAAAGAATTACATGTGGATCTCAATGTTTTTTGCCCCAAATTTCATTTGTAAAACGAAATCTAAAAAGTTTGTAGCTAAGCCATCTGGGCGCACATTTAATAAAAATTTCAAAACAGTTCTTTGCAATGCAAAGCGATTTCTTTTGAAAGATTTGCATTCTTATAATTTGGTTAAATATGACCCTGGTTTTCACTTTTGGGCTGAGATCAAGCATGACAAGGAAACGTCTTAGACAATAAAGGCCTTAACCACTAACACAGCTACTTTAAAATGGAATGCTCTTCCCATTAACTGTGCTGGTCTCGGTGTAAATGCACCTGGGACTCCATAGCAGAGGTCATTGGACTTTGCCCTGCGAGGCCAGACAGTGAATGTTCTAGGTTTTGCTGGCGAAGAGGCAAGATGGAGGCTGCTATGTGGGTACTTGCTTAACCGTTTAAAAAGGAACCGTGTACAAACGTAAAACCCGTGAGCCGTCAGTCACACAGCGAGGGAGCTGGCAGCGTTAGGGCCGCGAGCTGGCGGGTGCTGAGCCTCGCTCCGCGGTAAATGGGTCCCATGGAGAGAAACCGAGCTCTTGCCTGTGGTGCGGTGCCCAACTGGCAGATATGCAGGCTTTAGAACGGTGAAATCTACGATCACCGCTTGTTTGGCCCCCTTACCCTTGTCTAGGGCAAGAGCAGGGAACATCAAATGGAAACCAAATAGAAGGAGGAAATGATCAAACGTATGCTTTCTTATCATGGTGTTAAGATAGCCAAGTTGTCTGTGTGCCTCTTAGTGAGTTTGTGCACTGGGTCTAGAAGCATAAACATGTGCCTTGGAACGGGACGAAAGGCGAGCGGTCTGGGTTTCTCTTCAGATGGTCTCTATGTAAGCTGTTTTCAGGTGCCAAGTCCATCTTAGAGCAAACGGTGTGATGGCCGAGCCGGTAGCCCTTCCTCCTCTTGCCAAACCCAGAGGTGATTTGCCCTGAAAAACAGAGGCGCGTCTAGTAAGCTTCCTGAAGAGGTCCTCGTGTAGTCTCAAATAGGGTTTAGTTCTAGACTCGATTAAGATGCTCTAAAGAATTCTTCTGTAAAGGTTCAATATAGTAACCCTATGTCGCCTGTTGATCACTTTTTAAGAGTATTTCTTATTTGCATAGAAATTTGGTTCCATTACCTACTCCGAAACCAAAATTCTTTGCATGCTGAAAATTCGCCACCATCTGTTTAGTCATCATTATGATCACGTTCAGTCTTTCTGATGATTCAAGTCTATTCTTTATGAAAGAAAATCGCAAAGGAAAAAAATAATCATAGAGAGGGAATGCAACTCCTAGGGTGTTAGAAGCCCTTGTTCTTTGCCTGCTTCTTACTTAACCTTCTGGTTGGGAAGAATGAGCCAGCTCAGGGCTTAACTCTTCATTTCCCCAAGAGCAGCTGAGCAGGGGAACGTAGGCGCTCCAGGGTGTGGCCTTGATGGTACGGGGCGCAGTCTCCACTCTCTGGACCAGGGCTGGGGTCTGATCTGTTAAAAAATGAAAGGGATCAAGTTCAAGGTCTTCCTTCTAATCCGTCTTTGGCGAGTGTTTCTCTTTCCTTAATTTGCTCATATACATTTAGTCGAATGACAGATTCTCACAGAATACCCTAAATCGCAAAAGGAAACAAAGGTGTTTTTTTTTCTTTAGATTTTTTTTTCTTTAGATTTAGATGATAAAAGTGGTGACCTTAATGCTTTAAATATCTGGTTCTTTGAAGTCTGTGAGTGACTTTAGTTATTGTGTTCCCTTCACTAGATTTAATATCAGAGGAACAACAATAGGGGATAGAATAATGAGGTAATTCAGTCTGTTCCTTCATTATTTTATTTTTTTCTTTATGATGAATTTGCCAGGTCCACAGCTAACCACCTTTCCTATTAACACTTAATACTTCTTCGAACTTACTGAGTTCTAAGTGCTAAGCATTGTAAAGCAGGTTGCTTTTCACAGACTATGTTGAGCTGCATGCACCGCATGGCAATAGAATGCAAAGAAACTCCTGTGTGCAGATTTAACTGATGTTCACTTCAAGTGTGTCCTATGACGAAGTGGCTCTAATCTGAAACGATGTACTCTAAATGTGGGTTCGTCGCTTTGAATATTTTGTCGAAGAATGCAACTTACGATTCTCTAAAACTTGATAGGGATAACAATCAGCAACTTTCTGTTATTATTCAAATATACTTCTTTTCCTTGAGATCAATAACAAAATGGATTTGAGTCTAATTCTGTTATGTAGGTTGAAGATTCCAATTTTTTTAAAAGAAAGCTGCTGTCTTATCAAATAGCTTAGTAACTCAGGAGGGCCACACATCGAGATGCTACGCAACTCTCCATCACTGCTGTCATTTGAAGACCAATAATGGAGTATACTTTAAATATTAATGTGAACCTCGGTCCCATTATTTATCTTTGCAAAACATGGTTTACTTGACAAAATCAACCTGGTACCTAATTTTGGTGGCACGTGTTGGTTATTTAGCATTACTTTCTAAAACAAAGTGGAATATAAAACATAATATATAGCAACAATCAGAGATGTAACAATGTTGGTGGAGTTTCCCACAGGAAATACAGAAAAGATGAAATAAGCCAAAAAAATACTGTGGGTGGACGAGAAATCCCTCGTTCAGGGCCCATTCTCATGAGGAGTCCCTTTTAAAGGTCTCATAATTGTTTTTGCTTTTATGCTGGTATCTCTAGGCTGTTTTAACATGAAGGTATATTTGCAGTAACTTTGCAAAAAAAGTGTGGTCTATTGCTAGTTATCACTTTCTAGTTAAATGACAGAGAAATGGAATTTGTTTCAAGGCTTTTTGATTTTCTGGTTTATACCTTTGATCTCAAGTACTCAAAAGTCAGTTTCTCCCTTTACGGTGCGGATTGCAGCTAAAAGGTACCACCTTGCATTAAGTGGGTTCCGGAAAAGCGCCAACACTGAGATGGAGAGTATTATGAACTAATAAACAGTGGTAAACAGAAAACCTGAGAGTAAACGAGCGCAGACTCGTTCTTCCCTGCCTCCGTTCTTGCTTTCTGACCCCGAGATTGTCGGGGGGCAGTTTCTCATTATAAGGCCGTTTTTTCCTGCCCTCGTCCTTTGTTCCTAGTCTGTCTTGCCCTCATTTTTCTGCCTTTTGAGGTTTTAATTCAGCATTTTACGATTCCAGTTTCTCTCCTTTCTTGATGTAGCAGTCATATGTCTTTTTCGACTTTTAGTGGTTTGCAAATAGTAGGCCCTTTAATAAATATTTGTTTGCTGATCGGTGTTCTTCGTGTGTATGCGTGCGTGTTCTACTCCAGTGGAAAGTTCACAGTGAGCGTCCCTTCTGGTAGGTGGAGAACCGCTTTCAGACCCCACCAGTGACGCCTGTTTGCCTGTGTTCTCGCCACTCTGACCGACGTCAGAAGCTTTTAAATCTAATAGACATACGAGATCTGTCTGTCGTTTTATCTTTATTGTCAGTGAGGCCAGGCAACTTTTTGCATATTTATTACCCATAATTTCTCTACTCATGTCCTTTGCCTGTTTTTCTGTTACAGTGTTCATGTTTCTAACTGATTTGTAGACTTTTTATATGTTTAGGGTTTTGGGTCCATCATATGTCAGAATCCAGTGTTTTAAATAACAAACTCAAACTAACAAACTTAGTAAGTCATGTCACCTGTTAGGAAAAGTTTCTTCTAGTAAATAAACCAGTCTTAGAAAGAGCCCGTTATGCTTCAGTCACCAGCTCTGTCACAAGCTCGGTCTTTAGGAAAATAAAATCCACTGCTTTCACTCTAAACCTCCCTTCCAATGTAGAGTCCGTATAGATCGCACATATGTTAATATTTTTTCTCCTTCTCTCTTCTGTGCTGGGGACATCTTTGCCGAAAGCATAAGTTTGCCCATTGCCATTATATGTTACTCTTGGTTCCATTTCGTTTCCTTTTATGCCTTTACATTTCTCGACGTGGAAAGAACGAGAAATAACATTAAATAGGATTTGTTTTATTCGTAGTAAATTGCTCATGAATTTTGTCTGTATTCTGTTTTTAGAAAACAGCCCTTTAAAAACCAGTGTGCCGCATGCCATTTCCTTTTCTCTCTCAACCAGTCCCGCGTTTCTAAGTGATCTCTTAACTAAAACATTTCGTTTTAGTAACTCAACTAGTCATGTAGTCTCACCGTTGTGTCTGCGTTTTTATGCGTGTGGTTGGGGGTGCCTTACTGAGAGGATGTTAGTTTAAAATTTTTCTAGACTTACTGTATCTACTGTTCATCATTTTCATTCTGTAGTGCCCTGTGTTTTTTTTTTTTTTAATTTTGTTTTTTTTTTTTCTTTTAATATGCAATTCGTAGACGCTCTGCCGTTGCCCGCATTCAGGAGTTCTTCAGGAGGAGAAAAGAGAGGAAAGAAATGGAAGAACTGGACACTTTGAACATTAGAAGGCCACTAGTAAAGATGGTTTATAAGGGCCATCGCAACTCCAGGACAATGGTACCGAATGCTCACGGCTTTCTTTGGAGACAGGGCAGTGTCACGACAGGGGTGTTTCCCACAGGGCTTACCTTATTCTCCCCCGTTGCCAGTGTGATTCCAATGTAACGTTATTGCACCTGCACATTTATCCCTGGACCCAAACAAGGTTCTTTTAGTCCTATGATATGTCACGAAAGACATATCATTATTTGTTACAAGAAAACTCTACCCCGCCGAGGAACTATTGTAGGATTTTTTTAAATATTAGCTCATGCAAGTAACGATTGCTGCTTTTGCTCTCGTACCTGCCGTCCCCGCCCTGGTGGGTCGTTTAGTTCACATCAGCACCCTTTGCTGGTTTCGGAGAGAAATACTTGGATGTACGAAATCCAGGTTCATCGCAGAATATCGCCAGGTTGCTTTAATGATTATTTAATTATTATAACCCTGTGAAGATTGACGAGTAAAGATTTGTTTTAGTCCCTTTGTCTATCTAGACTTTCATTTCCTCATCTGTGAAATAAGAAGACCAGGTGGTCTCTAAGATCTTTTCGAGTTTTTACAATCCACAAGGCTCTACACCCAACGTTATGGTCATTACTCACTAAGAGGACGATGTGAGACGATTAGTAGAACTGTTATTCTGAACCATTGTTCTCGTACATTCGTTGGGTCATCGGTGAGACGATTAGTAGAACTGTTATTCTGAACCATTTATATATGGAAAGCATTGTTCTCGTACATTCGTTGGGTCATCAGAAAGTATCTGCAGAATCGTTTTGACTCGCTTTCTTCAGGGTCTAGGCAAAAAGTTACTCTAGGGAAGGGAAATAATTAGCTCTGTAGAAATCCTTGGTAGTAACAACTCAGTCATTCAAACAATACTATTAATAGAAGCCAGAAATTTACATTTCTTGCATTTTGCTGGTTAAAATTTTGGATGAAAATAAGTAGAGTTTGGAATGGAAAAAAATGAAGATAAGTAAACAATAGCGCCAAGTAACAGTGGAACTGGCTTTTTCCTTTTGCTTTGCCCAGAATAGCAAAGCAGCAGCTGCAGACAAAATGACTGAAAAAATCCTGATCTGAAGTACAAAGATTTCGATGGTTTATTCTGATGCATCCATTGAAAAATGTCATAACCACTGCAATGTATCATATTCCTTTCTCATTGCTTCATAAAAGTAAATATGTTTATATCTTTCCTTCTCAATTGTGAGAGCTTCAAATAGCTAATGTAAATATTGATACTTTTTGTTATAGTGTCCAAAACCCAGAAATCCCATTCATTTATTTAGCAGTTATTAATTCAGCACCTACTGTGTGCCAGGTACTGTTTCCGGCTCTATAAATACAGCATTGAACAGAACAAAATCCCTGTCCTCCTGGGGCACCTTTCACTGCTGACTGCTTTATCCTCCACTAATCAGTCCCCATCATGATCTGAAGATCCTAGAAAGCAAAGACTCTCTTCAATTTTTACTTACTTTCTTTCTAAGCCAGTTAATTTTTTAACTCGAATAGAATAAGTCTCTTTAATAACTTTGATTTGAATTTTCTTATCATTTCTTTTTAAAAAATCCTTAGATAAAAGAAGCCAATTTCTGGGGCACTAACTTTGTGATGAGTGGTTCTGACTGTGGCCACATCTTTATCTGGGATCGTCACACCGCTGAGCACTTAATGCTTCTGGAAGCTGACAATCATGTGGTGAACTGCCTGCAGCCACATCCGTTTGACCCAAGTAAGAAGGCCTTTTCTAAGGCGAGGGCTAGGAACTGTTGTGTGGTTCATGGGCTCCAGCCGGTGTCAAGCTGTCGATGTAGGAATAATCCAAGTTGTCCCAACAGGCAGCCGCGGGGGTCAGGTATAGCTCTACTTGGGTTTAAAACAAAACACTCACCTGCTTTCAGCCGAAAGTATGGGGAAGTAGGTTAAAGAGTGCAGTCTCCTAATATATCGCCTAAGTTTTATTAGCTATAAGAGGTTCAGCTCACTGAGCTGCTCACTTCTTAGCCACGTTGGACCTCCACGTGCCCGCAGCGGGCTCTTGCCTTCCGTTTGAAATTGCCCACGTTTCTCAAAAAACAGCAGTGGATACAGAAGAAATTTGGGTCCTTCAAGAGGGACTTAAAATTGTATTCTAGGGTCACTTTTAGGAAATTTTCAAAATAATATTCTCAGATAGCAATTAAGTGTATCGGTACAGTTTCCATTCTGGCTCGCCTTTGCTGTTCATGTGCGTACAGTGTGCCTTCGCTTAATGTCATAGATAGGTTCTGCGACTTGAAATGAAACAGCATCTAGTTGTAGGGTGATTGTTATCAACAAGACTTAAGCTCTTGTGGCATCTCATTGACCTTATAATGAAATGACGTTGAATGAAATGATGTTATTTGAGGACCTGCTATGTATGCATATGTACATACACACGTATATACACACATATACATGCATGCACACACATATACGCATGCATATACACATGCACACACACCTATACGCATGCATATACACATGCACACACAGCTATACGCATACATATACACACGCACACACCTATACGCATGCACATACGCACACCTATACGCATGCATATGTACATATATGCACACACACGCATGCACCTGTACACAATGCACACATGCACATGCATGCACACATCCATATACATGCATGCATGCATGCACATATACACACAGATGTACATATACATGCATTCAAACGCAACGCACATAAACACATGTGCGTGCATACATACATGCATGTACGTATGCATCCATACACACATGCACATGTATGCACATGTACACAGTCATCCATACATGCTTATGCACATGCACACATACATAAATGCATGTGTGTACACATATACATGTGTGCGTGCGTAGATAGTACATATATACATGTATATGTCTTGAATAAATGGCAATGTGTCCTAAGTTTATATTCATATGTACATTTTATTTCTAGTTCTAGCCTCGTCTGGCATAGATTATGACATAAAGATCTGGTCACCACTAGAAGAGTCAAGGATTTTTAACCGAAAACTTGCTGATGAAGTAAGATTTTTATTATACTTATTATAGACCATATTTCACTGTGTCTCTGAAATGCTTTCTTAAGAAGAATCAAAGCAGCTCACTGTTAGTTGGTAACATGAAACAAGTTAATGCAGTTAAGGAGATCAATTTAAAGGAAAAATTTTAAGATAAAAACATGCCTATTACAGAGAGGTAGAAATTGAACTATGTTTTTGCTAATTGGAAGATTGAGTTTTAGTAATACCAGATTAAGCGTTTTGTAGATTAAGGAAAATAGGTTGACTACTTGTGCTTATTGCAATAAAGAATCGTTAAAAAAAACTCTGTCCTTTTAAGAAAATAGTTTTAGCGTAGCTGTCTCCTGTGATCATAGCCAAGTAGATAGCAGGACAAATGACTGGAGAATGTTTTTCTTTATTATTATATTCTAATATTTCCTCAGCTTCTTGTCAGTACTTTTCAAACTGATTCTGTGAAGTTCTAGGTTTTTTATGGAATTAGACAGGAAAGCTGAGCGCTGTGCCTTTTCTCCCCAGTTTCAACCAGGGTTTTCATTTGTGGGCGTCCGTAGATTTTTTATGGTAATAAGGGTCCATTGCATTATCAGCTGCTAATGGCTGAGCTGTGAGTGAGCGCAGCTCAGGCTGACGCTGCGCCCTCTCAGAAAACAATAAATGGATCAGGGTCCACTGCTGCGAGGGAAACTGGCACTTTAGAGCAAGGTTGACAGTTGGCAGCCAGTTCCCACACTTATGTTCACTCGCTCAGTCGACGTTGACATTGACGTCCCACGAGGTGTACGTCAGCGGCAGAGCTGAGGTGAAGAAGGTGAGCCCTGCCCCCCGGGCTTGTGCACCGGTGGGAAAGGCAGACGTGTACACAGACAGCCGGGCTGGAATGTGGTCAGTGTCCCAGCCCATAGGAGGGACATGTAAATGGAGTCACTGGGATGGGGACGTCGTCCCAGGGGAATAGCACTCACCGGCAGGCAAGGAGAGAGGGAGCACTCGAGTGGAAGGGTCAGCACGTCCACGTTGTGTAAGGCGAAGGAACCGTCGGCTTGCGGGGACCGGCTGTGCCACGGATGTCGCTCGGTGGGGCTGCAGAGCCAGGTCGGGGCGAGACTGTAGGGCGCCGCGGCCCCCCGAGCTGGGAACGGGTTCTTGTTCACGGGGCCGTTGGCCAGACGAGCATCTCCCCTCCCTCTCGTGCTCCCGTCCCCCTCGGCCTCGCTCTTTCCTTCTTGCTTCTTCCCTTTGCTCACGATTATACATTCGATTCTTAGGTGTCGTGGATGTTTAGTCCCATTCCTGGTACTGAAGACACGATTCATTGATAACGTTGGTCCAAAGGTTTATTTTTCAAGATTACTTTGCCTCAGTCAAGGTACAATTTCTCAAAGGATCCTAGTGACCCAGGGATGACAGTTAAATTCTCCTGTGTCACTAAGAGCATCTGTTCTGCTGTAGGTGAAATAATGAACGGACACAACATAGTTCGCTTTGGGAAACAAATGATAAATTATCACAGATTGGATTCTTGAACGTTTTAAGGAGCCCCGAAGTTGACCTTTATCTTCCCGCCAGCTCTGATCTTACTCCCTCGGATGCAGTTGTAGCAACTGTTTGGCTTTGAGAAGCCTCAAGGGGGAAATGCAGGCATCACACGTGAAGATCGGAGTCCTTCCTCCCAGGGTCCGCTCGTTCTTAGCCGTTGTCCTAATCTCCAAGGAGAAGGTACAGCTGCTCTGAGGGGTTGACGAGGCTGTCTAACTTGCCTCCTAGGTTATAACTCGAAATGAACTCATGCTGGAGGAGACCAGAAACACCATCACGGTCCCCGCCTCCTTCATGTTGAGGATGTTGGCCTCTCTGAATCACATCCGAGCTGGTAAGGACTGTCGGTGTCTTCCTGAAATTATGACTGTATTTGAAAAACATGGTATAAAGATCCGCTTTAAAGGGCTTTACGCAGATTCCTCACATCTCAAAATGAAGGCAGCTTCACTTCCGAACCATGAGTTCTGTGAACTCTCGACCTTATTAGCACAGTCACTCATTCCCCATGAACCGAATTCATTGGAAAGTGTCCAAATGAAAAGACAGAGTCACTGGAAAGTTTCATCTGCTGTGCTTTTCTTCCCCGAGTGGAAGGTCGTGCTGTAAACACTGAGGTATATCGCAGCAAGTACCTGTTAGCAGATTTGCTCGAAATCAGCCTCGTCCAGACAAAAATAAATGTAACATGCTAGGAAGGTTGAAAAAGATACCTCTTTATGTTTTTTGTCAGTATTTTTTTTCTAGATCATTATCTATGAGTTTCAGTGCCACATATAACAAAACACATGTATTATACAACTAATATTCAAGTAGGAATGGAACAATCTGTGTCCAAACAATAGTCAAGACCCAGTATCCATTACAAACAAAATAACGTTTATCAAACCAAAGTGTTTATCACTGTTCACTGATTTCATGAAGTAGATTTCTTCAGAGGGTGGCAACCACCCATCGGTCACAACGACCACGACCGCTTATAGAGCACCTGTCACACGATGACGATGGATCCGAAACTGGGTTTCTGCGGAGGGCGCATCGCCCGCGGGCGCTGGGGCGGTCCCCCAGCTGCTGCAGACTGCTTTCCTCGCGGGCGGCGCCCCGCTTCCTCCCTGTCCGCTCCCCCCCACCCCTGCCCTCTTTGGATCTGGGGACGCAGCCGACCCCACCCCGTCGCACCTCGGGGATAGTCGCCCCGCCCCTCCCGTCCTCATGTCTGTCCGGGTCCCTTCTCCGAAGTCAGACTAGTCGCCTTGGGGTTCAGTGCGAGCGTTGACACCTCTGTAGTTAGTAAGATCTCGGATCCCGTCTTCTCTGGCTGTTGACAGTGGGATCGAGCAGTGCTCCCCATGTCAGCTCGCGGAGACGTGTCTGAGGCAGAGAGGGCCCCATCCTAGAGATGGAGGTGACCTCACACCATTGCCTTCTGTATGTACCCTGATGCGACGACTAACACCCCATCCCTTGTCTGAGACGCCCGCTCCGCCCTCCCGGGCTCCCGGGCTCCGGGGCTCCCAGGAGCTCAGCCCAGACCGCGCCCCCGCAGCGCAGGCCCCGGGCTCCCTCCTCCGAGGTTTCGGGAATGTGGGGGGAGCTGTTCAGAGCTGTTGGTCTCACAGAGGGGGTGGCAGTCGTGAGCGAGCAGCACCCTCACAGCTAAGGAGTCGGGTGGAAGCGGAGGAGCAGGAAGTGGGGGGCCCGCGTGGGAACCGCCGCGCTCACGCACCCGGCTGTGGTTGTGTAGTCCCGCATTTAACCTAGATACGCGCCGCGAGGGCGGACACCGTGTCCTCAGCCCTTACGGCACAACGCCTGCAACATACGGCAGATACTTAATTTTAAAAATATTTTTACAAATACACAAATTCCCCTCTAGAGGCAAAAACTAACTTATCTTTATCTACACACAGTGGCGAACTGATTTTTACATGATGGTGTGTTGAATTATATGCATTTTAATCAGTTGTAAATTAAAAGTATTAACAATGACTTTAATTGTAATACTAAAAGTATTTCTTTTCGTCTCTCTCGCCTGTGTTTTCCAGACCGGCTGGAGGGCGACAGGTCAGAAGGCTCTGGTCAGGAGAATGAGAACGAGGATGAGGAATAAGCAGCCCCGACTGGCGAGCGCTTATGACGTTGTGAAATCTGTATAAGACATTTATTATATTTTTTCCTTTACAGAGCTTCAGTGCAATTTTAAGGTTATGGTTTTTGGGGTTTTCCCTTTTTTGGGGGATAACCTGACATGGGTTTGGAATGATTGTGTGCATGAACTTGGGAGAGTGTGTCAAAGAAAACTAGCAAAACATGTGAAATCTTTCTGCCACGTGTGAGGAGTGCTGGACAGTGCAAAGTGCAATATTTCCCCCGAGCTTGGGACGTGGGCGCCTGGGTCAGTGTCGCAGAGAAACCCCCTGACGGTGAAGATGTTGGTTCCGATCAATTTCTACACTTGGCCATTTGCATGTTTGTTGCTTTCTAATTAAAGGACTTGGTTGTTTTAAGATCTCCTGAATGTGATTTTGCATTTCATGCCTCGTTACCGCGACCCCCGGTTTCCGGTCTCCTCTGGAACAGAAGACGGTCTTCCTGTCCTCTCTTCTAGATTTAATAACCTTTTCTGTTTCGAAGGGCGTTTTTCATTTCTCCTTCCAAAGTACTCGATCCTCCCTCCGATCACTCTCTCTCGTTACCAAGGGCAGGAGCTGGGCGACAGGCCAAGTCAGAGCGTCTGGCCGGCTCGGTTACGGTACTCACACGAGCCGGTGCCGAAAGCTCTGGCTTCTGGTCCCCCTGTCTCCAGCGTCCAGATGTCAGCTGAGACTGGCGAGGTCCCGTCATGCAGTTCCTGGTCGTCCTTGGCTCTTTCTGCCTCCACGCAGCCTAAGCCATCTGCGCCCAGGCCTGTACGTCTAGGCCGTGGCCTGAATCTGCTGCTGCAGACCTCCTTCAGCCACCCCCGCCCCTCTTAAATGGTCACTCTCTTCCCTCGGGCTGGGGCACAGACTCATGCGTAGCCGAGCCTCGCATCCCTCTCCAGAGTGGAGACCGGGCTCCTCCCACGGGGGCTGCAGACACAGGGACACCGGCTGCTGAGGTGACAGGTTGGCTCTGTGGGTAGAGACGGTCGCTCTTCGCTTGGCTCAGTCACTTCAGTTGACTTCCACATCAGGCTCTTACCTGGACAGGACGTGTCTCCTCGTTAGAGAACGTGGCGAGTGGCCAGAGGGAAGGGACTCTGGAGCCTTGGCCAGACGGGGCAGCCGCTGGGCTAAAGCCGATTCCGGGAAGCGCAAGGGTCTTGGCTTCCGGTCCCGTTAGGATGCGACCTGCTTGAGCTGCCCGGTTTCTCTAGGCTCCTGTTCCCTCTCCTCTAAGAGGAAGCTAACCACATCCACACCCTGTGTCCCAGGGGCTGTTAAGGCCATGTGCAACCACCGGGGTCACAGGGCTTCACAGAATGACAAAAAGCCTGTGAGCACGTGACGTGATGTCGCTTCTGCCGCAGTAATACAGCAGTGACGGGAGATGCTGCTGAGAGGTGCTGGGGAGACAGGGCAGAGGCCTCGAGGGCCGAGTGGGGTCAAGGGCGTCGACAGTCAGGTGGCTGTAGGCCGGCGGAGAAGATAGGTGGGAACTGCTCTGTTTTACTGGGAATTTAACCGTTTAGGAAAAAAACGTTAAAAATGGTATTTGTCAAAGAAATTAGGTCCCCTCTTTCATCGACTTTGCAGTTTTTGTGCTGATAGAGAAGCAGGCAGGCCAGACAAGCGGTCAAGGTCGCAGCGCATGCTCCGCAGAGGCAGAGCAGACAGGTCCCGGCCGCTGACGTGACTCCATGTATGTCATCCTGGTAAGTTGGACTGGGCCCGAGCGCTCGCCTGCCCACCCAAAGGAGCATGACTCCAGGGGTGGCAGGGGAGGGGCCGGACACGGGTGAAGCATTCTGTGGCCTGAGGTGGTTCCGAGTTTCAGGGACCGGCCCCCACCCTGACCTTGGTTATGGGATGGACACATGCAGAGCACTGCTGCTCACTGCACCTGCTGTGAAAACTCAGGGTGGGGAGCCTCTGCTCTGAATTTCTTGGTCACGCTGAGCCGTCACTGACAATGTTCTGGGAATCTCGGTCCCCGGGGAGATTCTGAGAACACGTGGGTGGATGTGCCGGGTCACTGTGCTGTGGGCACCCGCAGACCCCTAATTTTGTCACAGTCGGCCCTCCCTGCTCAGTGTCCAGAGACAGGGACGTGGGGGTGGGGTAAAGGGGGAGACCCCCCAAAAAATCCACTGTCCACAAGTCCAAGTCTAAATTCACAATTTCCACAGCTATACACATACCAAAAACAGGTATTTAATCAGGTAAACAGAACCATCCTAAGTATATTTTTGCTTGTTCATAAATATTGATTTATAATCTTGATTATTTTTCTTATCTTAAAAAAAAATCCAAAAAGTTTAAGTGAAATATACTTCAGGATCAGGTTGTCTTGGTTTCGAAGGTCGGTCTTTAACACATTTGCATGCAGGGTCCATCATCAGAACATAGCGAGGAACTGTCCCAGACCGGGTCCCAGGCCCTGCGCTTTCCCCCGGGCGGGGCGGGCTCGCCTGCACCTGTGGCATTTCAGACTGGCGTGTGGACAGGGAGAGCGGAAGTGGCCTCTCCTCCCGAAGCCGCTATTGCTTTCCCAGGGAAACAGCCTCGTGTCACAGTCTCCTGAAAACACGGAGCAGACCGCTCCCGCGGGTCTCAGAGACGGGAGCCTGTGCTTCGCCGCCGGCCACGCGTCCAGCCGCGTCCCTCCCAGGTCAGGCAAGCGGGTCTCCACCTCCCAGGCATCGGCTGCAGTCCTTCCTACCAGCGGCCTAGCTGTCCAGTAATGGGGACTCGTCACTGTCCCTTGTCCGCTTCGAGCTGTACAGTGAGCTCCTTCCATCACGTGGCCAAGACCTGGGGTTTGGCTGTGTCACTGGCTTAACGCACTTTGAGACCTCAGACAAGACCCTTCACTTCCCTAGGTGTCCCTGGATTCTGTGTGTCCTGTCCCCACCCCAGGAGAATGGTCTGGACTGCCCGCTCCGGTGGTCAGTATGCGACTGTGCTCAGAGCCCTCCTCCTTTGAAAATGGCAGTTTCCCGCCTGTAGCACAGGGCCCACCTGGCTGCGGGTAGCAGCACAGACTCCTGTCCCCATGCCGCCTCTTCCGCAGGGCGTGGAGGGCGGGAGATTCGGGAACCTAGAGCCACAGCCAGGCCGGACGGAGCTGGCGCTAGGACCCAGGCCCCGTGTCGGGGTGGGGTGCGTCTTCTGGGCCGGCAGGTCGGGCTGTGCTGTGCTGTGGTCCAGGGCCTGCCGCCGGCCCAGCATAATCCCGAGCCCTCTCCTCTCCTCAGCAAACAGGACAATTTCCCTGGCAACGGCCTTCGACGTCTCTCATCTGGGATGTTTCCTTTTCAGGATTTTCGCTTCTCAGCAGATCCCCGTGAGACAGGGCTCCCCCCCCCCCCCCGGAGTTACCGGCTCCGCGTCACTGCTCCCCAGCTGCCTGCGAGGGCTGGGGCGCCTGGAACCACCGGCGAGGGCGGCCCCCGCGTGCCACGCCCCATGTCACAGATGACGAAACCTTCTAGAGATGAGAAAACGATGCAGACGACTTAACTGGCCCCAAAGCGCCTAGCTCGTGAGCAGCGAGGGTCTGCACCCCGAACTCCCCGCAGCGAAGCCCCCCGTTCCCACCTGCAGGCGCACGGCCGGGGGTGAGAGCGCGTGGGGCGCCCAAGGCCGGGCACGCATGCGCTCAGCGCGCGGGCTCCCCGCGGGGCCCTCGCTGCCTCGTCGCCCCCACGGTCCTTTCAGACAGGAGCGCGGGGCTCGGCCCGACGCTCCACACTCGGCGCCAGTCTGCAAGCGCCCCAGGCACATCCGGTCAGGACGGAAAGCCGTCCCCGGAGTCATCCTGGGCTTGAGAGCTTGTCGGTCCTCCCCGCCCCGCCCGGCCGCCGGCGCGTCCTGGTCAGCCTCTGGGTGCTCACTCGATGCAGCGACCGCTCAGCGGCATCTTCAGTGACATCAAAGGACATTAGCACCAGGTGGCCCTGGTCTGGCAGCCTCAGCTCTGCCTCTTAGCGCCGGTTGCTGAAGGTCACACAGGTGAGCAGGGATGGAGCCCGCCACCCCAAATGGGGTCACCCGAGTGGGCGAGCTGGCTGGGGGGTCCTCTCAAGGCGGAGGCCTGCAGTGGAGACGAGCTCAGGGCAGAAGCCTCCGGGTTATGCTCAGCGTTTCCTTTGGGAAGGGCTGGTGGCATCACCGCGCTGCTGCCACCTAGCGTCCAAGGTGCTGAACTGTGCTGTGGCGGGACTGCCCCGTCGCGCCGGTCACAGCCCTCGCACCCGGTACCTGGGGCGCGGCGCGGGGACCCAGGCAGGTGGCCATCCTGATGAAAGCAGAGATGGACAACAGCCCTCACACCAGGAGACGCAGGACTCAGGTTTTTAAGTGACCAAGTGTCCCACCTGCCACTGCACAGCAGCATAAAGCTGTGTGGGCCCGGCTTGGTGGGGACAGTTGGGCTTTGATCTGCGCGAAGGGCAAGCACCCCCGAGGATGCTTCCCAGACGCTTTGGGGTGCACGGGACTGCCTGCTCCCTCGTCCTGTCCCTTCTCCCTCAGGCTAGGTCAGGGCGAATCTGAATTCCTGAATCTGACAGGGCCCAGCTGGCAAGCGTCGCCCGCGGCTTGCCTCACCCCGTCGCCTCCTGCACGGAGCCACCCCAAAGCCCCTGGTTGGAAAGTCGCCCCCTCTGCAGCCCAGTCCTTCCATAATCATCATCGCTATTAGCGTCGTATCCCCGTCTCTCCCTAAAGTGACGACGCTTCCACGTTAGTCACAGGCCACGCCCACGGCTCTGCGTGGACGTGCAGCGTCTGGCAGGTGAATGAATGAATGGACCTCAGCACAAAGGAGGGAAGCAGCGAATTCGTTGGTGAAGTGCGGTATTTCTAGATAAGCTTGGATTCAGTGCTAGTGAATAAATCCCTGCTAGTCTGGGCCCAGCCAGAGCCGACATGGGGTCTCAGGACTGGCCAGAGCCCAGGCCAGCACAGTGCGGGGGCGCACCCTCCAACACTGGGGTTCCCAGCCGATTTGCAGTGCTCAGGAAATCCTCGCTGGGGCCACCCCAGAGGCAAAGGCGTCCACCTGCTCCAGCCACGTATGCTGCCCAGAAGCGTGGTCACTGTAGAAGCAAGTGCGAGGAACATACACGAAATACACAAAACGCCCCCTGACTGGGGAATGCCACCGGAGCGAGAGCAGAGTCTGACCTCCAGCTGTCACCAGCAGAACCCACAGGTGCAGCTGCCTCCGCTCCCCACTCCCACCCAGAACCTGACCAGGGCCTGGCCCCCAGCTGGCCCGGAGCAGCTGTCGGGCGTCACGCCACGGAAGTCTCAGGAAAGGTCCCTGTGAACTGCAGCCCGGGGACCGGCCCGCCTTGGTTTCTACCACACAGCAAAAAGGACAGCGACCTCCCAGCCCCTGGCTAGACCCCGCGGACACACCGCAAAACTGACTCGCCTTCTGGAGCAGCTGCCTGCCCCGAGACACAGCTGAACCTCCTCGAACTGACCCTCTGCCGACCACCTGGGACTCGGAAGGCGGGGAGAGCCCTGCACTCAGCTCGTTTAGTCGCCCAGGCGGCAGGGCAGACGCAGGCGAGGCAGCGGCTTCCCAAGTCCCCCCAGCCGCGGGCCAAGCCCCTGTGGAGCCCTCCACTGCTGCTGCAACTGGGGGCGCGGGGTGAGCCAGCCGGAAGAGTCCGGTCCACCTGGAGGCGTCCGGAGGGCGGCGTTTCATCCCGATGGACGGCACTCTGCAAACAAGTGGGGTGAGTCGCATGGCGGGGCTGGGTGTGCCACACGCCCCTCGGAAGCCGCTCGAGGCCGGGCATGTCGGTCCGTGGGCCCCTCGTTTTCTATGCCCCGCTTACAAGTTTGGAGAACATCGCACATCAGAGTTGGAAAGGTCTTGGAGATCGTTCAATGCCCCGCTCCCTCGCCCTAAGTTCCCGAGGGCCAGAGAGGTCAGGAGGTCCCAAGTGACATGCGTGAGGCGGAGCTGGGCCAAAGTGCAGGCTGCCACCGCCACGGTGGGGTGTTCTCTGTGGAAGCAGCCCGTGTGTCAATCACATCGCAAACGGCATCTGCGCGGAGGCTTTTTCCCATGTGAAGGGGACAGCCGCGGTGACGGCGGTGTCTCTGCCCCCTGGCTTGGTCAGTCCACGGCGCCCTAACCAAATGCTTCCTTTTTAATTGTGGAAACGGAGCATGTGCCGTCCGCTCCTTCCTCCTGCCGTAGTGCTTCCCCTGCTTCGAAACACCAGGACTCGCTGGGAGGTGGGTGAGAAGCCCGGTCCTCAGCAAGTGGCGCAGGGGGCTGGGAGCCACCCCTGGGGGCACCGGCGCTGGCCCCACAGAAGGCAAGGTCACAACCAGTGCCGGGCGTGGGGACTTGTGGGGGGCTCTGCTCGGGGGACCCTGGGTGGCCTGCACTGACCCCGCAGAAGGCCTGGGGTGACCTCGCTTTGTCCGGAAGATGCGCCACCCCACTCCCGAGGGGGCGGCTCTCCCTCTCCGAGACAGTGCGGGGCTGGACGCCCAGGGCACGGTGGTGTGGAAGAGAAAAGGGCCCACGTGGTGGCTCCCTCCCGGCCAGGCCTCGAGGCCCCGGGGGGCTGACCCTCCCCCCAGAAAGTCGGTCACACCTCCATCTGCTTTTCTCTGTGCTTTCGATGGCTCAGGCCCCATCGCTGGGACCACGTGGGGTCTCACAGACACAGGAGTCGCTGCCCAGGGACAGAGTTCTCAGTGTTTTATCTGGTGGCTGCACACCAGACGCTGCTCCTGCCCAGGGTCACCCTCTCCGGACGCATCGCCCCGAGACCCTCATTTCTGTCCGGAAGCTAGAACATTCCCTTCCTCGATGCTCTGCAGTTGGAGCCTCTGACTCGCCAGGGTCCTGCTGCCTCGGCGGCTGCCAAAGCCGGCCCCCGGGACCGTGCGCGCCACCATCAAGACCCCGGGCAAAGCCTCCTCTCCAAACAAGCTGACTTTGGCCTCGGCCTCTATGGCCTGGGCCAGGCTGGCGGCGTAACTGTCCAGGGACTGGTGCACTTCGGCTTTTACGTGGAGGATGGGGTTCTTGGCGGCTTCTGAGGGAGAAGGAAGAGAAGGTCAGCTAGGGGCTGGGACCGATGTCTCTGCCACGGCCACGCCCGCTGCCGCTGCACTGCCCAGCCCGGGAGGCGGACGGTGAGGGAGAGGGCTCTGCGGCGACAGTCCCTCGGCTAAAGCTCTTGGTCCCCTGCCCCGCTTCCTGCCTGAGAAATCGTGCAAGTATCTGTTTTCATCTCAATCTCATCTGTAAAGAGAAGGTCACGCACGGTCCACCTCTCAGATGGTTACCGTGACAACTCCATTGTCTTTCTAAGATGCCTGCTAGGCCTGGCTCACAGAAAAGGCCTGGCAAATGTTAGCTCTTAATGGTACTCAAATTTTGACACCTCTGGTCTGTCGGCTCCCCAGAGCATGGAATGTCTGGCTCTGAATTTCCAAAATGTCCTGTCCATACCGGCTCAGAGATGCCCCAAGATCATGGACAACCTCAGGGCTGGAAGAGACATTAAAGATTTGAGTGCCCCACCTCTGATGAGGACCAACCAGGAAGGAGAGGGAAGGAGGGAGGGAGGGAAGGAGGGAGGAGCGTGGGGCTTCGGTCTCCAGCACCTTTCTCCTGCTGTGCTGGGGGACAATGTCCCCCCCACGCCTCACGCTTTCTGGAGGAGGCAAGTCCCACCCCATCTCCAAGAGGTAAAGGGTTGGCGGTCACACGGCCTCTCCCTGGCCCTGCCACTCACTCACAGGAGGACAGAGTTGGGAATGTGTTTGTGTGTCTATGTACAGTGCCACAGCCCTGCTCGCCAGCTCAGACGCTGCCCGCTCCAACAGCCAGGAGCCCAGGGTGGGGCCAGAGTCAAGTGCGGCTGGGGCGGGCTGGGCCAGAACGTCCCCGAGCTCCCGTGCTTTCCCATGCTGTCGGAAGCTATCAGCCAGACACCAACCTCTGATTTGTTCCACCTCATCCTCGAACGTCACCGAGCTCCTCCTCTTGGGTGGGCAAGCACAGTGGGAGGAAGGGCGGGCCTCTGATGGGTGGTCGTCGAGCAGCATCACCTCCGTGCCTAATACCGAGGGCAGAGCGTGCACAGGTAAGCGGCTGCTCGCGGCCGCCTCCTCGCCCCCTCTCGACCCCCCTGTGCCCTCTCTCCCATTCATTCAAACCCACAATCAAGTGCAACCGGCTCACCGTCTGCCCCGCAGCTTTTGCCCAAGAAACTGTGTCATCCCATCACAGGGAGCCTGCAGCCAGGCCTCGGGGCTGACCGGGGACAATGCAGCCGTGTCACGCAGAGGCGGGGTCCCGTGCCTCCACAAGTGTAAGTCAGCCAGACAGACCTGGGGTGCAGGGGAGGGGCGGGGCGGGACGGGACGGGAGGGGGCTGCGTGGAGGAGACGCCCCATCAAAAGGAGCTCTGTGTTCTGAGTGATTCTTCCTACAGTGTGAATTTCTGTCATCGTGGTTAAAGTACGTCGTACTAAGTAAACGTTAAAAAATGTTTTTTCAATTACAGTTGACGGTCAATTTCGGGTGGAGTGGTTAGACATTTATGTCACTTACAGAGTGATCCCCCAGTAAGCCTGGCACCTACCCGGCACCATCCATAGTTATCACGGTGTTATTGACTATATTCCTTATTCTGTACGTCACACCCCGTGACTGTTTTGTAATCGGCAATTGCGCTTCTTGACTCCTTCGCCTTTTCTACCCAGCCCCCAACCCTCCTCCCATTTGGCAAACACCAGTTTGTTCTCCGATTCTATGAGTCTGTTTCTGGTTCGTTCATTTATTTTGTTTCAGATTCTGCACACAAGTGAGGTCATGTGGTATCTGTCTTTGTCCGACTTATTTCGCTTAGCATAACACCCTCTAGGTCCATTCGTGTTGTTGCAAATGGTGAGATTTCATTCTTTTTCACGGCCAATATTCCATCGTGTCTATGTGCCACGTCTCCACATATCTGTCTGTGGACACTCAGGCTGCTTCCGAATCTTGGCTATTGTAAAAACTGCTGCAGGGAACATAGGGAGCACACATCTATTTGAATCGGTGTTTGGGGTTCCTTTGGGTAAATATCCAGAAGTGGAACTGCTGAGCTATGTGGTAGTTTTGGTTTTAGCGTTTTGAGGAACCTCCGGACTGTCTCCCATAGGTGCTGCACCCACTCGCAGTCCCACCAGCAGGGCGCGAGGCTCCCTTTTCTCCGCGTCCTCGCTGGCACTTGGGCGTTGATTTATCGAGGGCAGCCATTCTGACAGGTGTGAGGCGATACCTCGTTGTGGTTTTAATTTGCATTTCTCTGATGACTAGTGATGTTGAGCATCTTTTCATGTGTCTATTGGCCATGTGTGTGTCCTCTTTGGAGAAATGCCTATTCGGGTCCTCTGCCCATTTTTTAACTGGATTGTTGGGGTTTTCTGGTTGTTATGTTATATGAGTTCTTTATACATTTTGTATATAAACTCCTTCTCCCATTCAATACGTTGCCTTTTCATTTTGTTGATGGTCTCCTTTGTTGTGCGAAAACCCTTTAGTTTTATATAATCTCATTTATTTTTTATTTTCTTATCCTTGCCTGAGGGGACATATCCAAAAAATACATTACTAAGAGCAATGTCCAAGAGTTTACTGTGTTTTCTTCTAAGAGTTTTATGGTTTTAGGTCTTTCATTTAAGTCTTTAATCCATTTCGAATTTATTCTCATACATGGTGCAACCATCTTGTGTCCTTGGATTGGAGCATTTAATCCGTTTACATCTAAAGTAAGTGCCGATAGGTGATGCAGTTATTGTCATTTTAGTATTTATATTTTTTATCTTTTTTCTTCTTCCTCCTCTTCTTCTTCTAGAGGTGCCTTTAACATTTCTTGTACTGCTGGTTTGGCAGTGATGCACTCCCTCAACAAAAGTAGCACTGGCACCTGCAAGCACTTTTGTCCCAGAGGGAGCTGCCACTCCAGCCCTCGCCCTGAAGCCAGACAAGTTGGTTCCTCCCTGTGTGTCTCCAGTGCTGGAGCTTAGGGTGTTTGTGAGCAAGTCCATGTGCAGGCACTTTAAGAGGACACCTAGGTCCGCAGGCTCCCCGTCTCACCAGGACAAAATCCCTGCTGACTTCTACAGCAAGGAGTTATGGGGACTTCTCTTCCCAGCACTGATGCCCCGGGCTGAGGAGCCTGGTGTGGAGATGGGACACACTCCTCGGGGGGGGGACCTCCGCAGCCGAGATGTCCCTCCCTATTCTAAACCGCCACGCGTGGGTGTGGGCCCTGCCTGTTCTGTGTCTCCGCCCCTCCTACCATCTCCATGTGGCTTCTTTACATCCTTAGTCACAGGATTTCCGTGCAGCTGGACTTCTGGGTTCTCAGTGACGGCTGTTCTGGAATTTAGTTGTCATTCTGGTGTGGTCATGGGGGGAGGCGAGCATGTTTACCTACTCTGCCGTCTTGACTGAAGCCTCTCAAGCTTTTTTTAACCGCAGAATTATGGAGGGGCTGTTTACATGCCACTCGACTCACTGCTTACAGTGCATGGACTCCCCACCACACCGAGAGCTCCAGGAGGGCAGGTCGCCACTGTATCTCTAGCACCTAGTCCAGCATCTGGCCAAAGCAGGGCCTGGCAAATAAAGATTTGTTGACTGACTGAATGAGCGTCACAGTCCCTGAATCCCTGCTGGTTGTCTGAGAATGGAGGGACAGCCTAAGTGACAGAGACCTTCCCTTCCTGCAAATCACAAGGGACTCGGGGCTGCAGGGGATGGTTGCCCGGTGAGGGAACAATCTCAGGGAAATATTCTGCCCCCACGGAATATCCTGCGACAGAAGGCCTGTCTCGGTGCCTGCCCTGGCCTGTGCCCTGGCCCGTGCCCAGAGTTCCATGTCGTGGGCTTAGGTGAGGAAACACAGGTCAAGGCCAAGATGATTTTTCTGAAGTCGCTGGCAGCGGTGACGGAGGAGCAGAGGGCGACATGCCCGCCGCCCAGCCTGCTGCTCCGAGCCCCCGAGTTCGCACCGGGCTGGGTGACGGGCGGTGCTTCTCCAGCAACGCGGGGCCGCGGATGACTAACAGGGCACTGCCGGCCTCTGCCCCCCACCTCCAGGGCCTTGTGAGAGCCCAGTAACGCGCTTGGCGGGCACAGGAGTGGCACTCGGCTCCCCACGGGCGGCCAGGAGAGACCTTGACCTCACAGAGCTCTGGGTCTGCACGATCCTCCGTGAGCACTTGGAGATGTGTCTTTTCCAGGAGACAAGGGCGCGGGCACGTAGTGACGGTGACAGGGGTAGTGACGGTGACAGGGGCACCTGGCCTCGTCGAAGCCACCCTTGATCGCCACCTCCAGTTCACAAACTGGGAAGCCTAGGACCACGCAGCTCATTCAACGCCAGACCAGACACGAGGCTGCCTGCCGGGCTCCAGGGCCACAGGCCGGTGTCATCATAGTCACACCGCTGTCACTCAGCGTTTCACTTTCCAAAGGCTTCCTCTTAATTTCAATCTCACAACGACCCCGTGTGTCAGAGAGAAGGGACCTGCGATCCCAGAGGAGAAAACTCAGGCGCCGAAGCCTGGAAAGCCAGAAGGCAGGGCTGGCGAGCCTGCCGCCCGCCCCGGCCCGCGCTCCTCCACGGCGCCCCCCGCTCACCTGAGTCCTGAGAGCAGCTGAAGCCGGTGTCCCCTGTGCTGCTGCTGTTCCCCAGGGGCTGTCCGCCTGCCATGAGCGCCGTGAGGTGCGGGGACAGGCCCAGGTCTGGAAGGCAAAGTCAGCACTGACTGCGCGGCCCGCGTCCTGTGCTCACACGGCGCCGACCTCCCATTTCGGTCGGCCCACCGGCCGCGCCCCCCGCTCTCCTTGCAGAAAGCGCCTCACCCCAGGAAGCTCTTCAGCGCTGCCCCCTCCCTGCTCTGCCCCTGTTCCCAGGGGAGCCTGCATTGTGACAGAGTTCACTGGGGCCCCCACCGAGGGGAAACTCCCGTGACGACACCAAACCAGCAAGGCAGGCGGGAAAGAGACTGCGAGGTGAACAGCCTTCGGAGATGTAGCTCGACGTGGGACACGGGTGCCTGTCACCCCGACGTCCTCTTGGACAGAAAACAGAATTTTTTTAAGAGGCTTACACTCGACAGCGGGACAGAGCGTTTGTCAGCGGGGAGGTGGGCGGGCGAGGTGATGGGAATGTCCCAGGAGAGGGCCGGGGGTGGCAGTGGAGGTCCCGGGAGGAGGCTGCTTCCCACCCAGGGCCCCCCAAAGCTCGGGACGTGGAGGCCCGTGGTCTCTGCAGGCTCGTGGGGCTCAAATCCAGGTTCTAGGTGCCCAGCCCCAGTGTCGGCAGCGGAGGGGACAGAAGGGAATCAGGGGCCTGGCCTTGGAGACGCTAGACACAGCCCTGTGGACACTGAGTCTTGGATGCCCGTGGAATGGCCCAGCACGACCACTCTCCAGCCAGGCCTCCCCCGCACCGCCCGGGGCCTGGTTTAATGATGAAGGGTCGGCCGCCATCAGTAGACGTTACGGAAGGACGCTGGCTTGAAGGACAGAGATGCGGGGAAGAAAGGGCGGGAAGAGAAGATCTCCATGGAGACCACTGTAGGGAGCTCAGGAGAGCGGCAGCAGCGAAACGCTCACCGGGTACCCCAGAAAGCCAAGGAAACGGGGAGCCACGAGCAAAGAGGCTCCGGAGACCACGGAGGTGACAAAAAGCAGCTCTCGGAAGTAAACGCACAAGTCACAACTCCCGTCGCACGAGGAAGACCGACCGCCCGGTTACACCTCCCCAGCAGAAAGGCGGCCGCGTTCCTGCGTGGACGGGGCAGGGCGCGGGGCTGGGGTGGGGGCTGGGGTGGGGGCGCCTTCTGCTCTGTTTCCAAGACTTTTGCGGATGCTCTGGCCTCGTCCCGTGAGCTTCTGGGGAAGAGACCAGTGG